TCTCTTGTAGACATGTCAGGGATGAGCATAACAGTTGTTCACCACTGATGGACAAACTGAAAGGATGAGTCTCCCACCAAATCCCCAAAAAGCCCTACATCCTAAGAGCCCCACAGAAATTAAACTGCTGGCAAGACCCAACTCTGCAGTATAGAAAGTCTTCATCTTCCGCCCTCTGTAGAGGAGGGCCAGATGGCTATAAATGCATTCATGAAATGACAAACTGATGGGGAAGCTGGTGACACATACATATATGTTGCTAGTGGCTCTGCTTCTGTAATGATCTTCATTCTCAAAGGAGATTGTTGTTGATTTTTTAGATGAAAACCACTGAGAGAATGATAAAAGTAATATAGGATTGGGCCATCCAGCACTGTACCCACTTTCAAAGACTTTTCTGTCCACACTGGGGATGTTTCTTTACTCTTGAGTTTCTTAATGAGAGCTTAGGCAAAAAAGTTTTAAACCAACTCTTCTAAGAAGAAGAACCAGTATCAGGAAGAGCTGAATAAGCAAAATTGCAAAATATTCCAAGCAAAAGGCAGAGCCAAACATAAATCTGGGGTTAATTTGCAATACTTTTAGTCACAAATCACAGATTCTTTGAAAACCTGAAGTATGAGAATTGCGATTCTTATTTGGACTTGTGCTTAGAATTGGAGTTAAAATGAGAGAACAACTGTTTTTGGAAACTATTTTTTCTGATTCTATTCCAGTTACGGACATTTTCCCTGTACTTTTCATGGGTTCTTTTTGTTTATGTAGTTTGAAATTATGGAATCTAATGGAAACTTGTACACATTAGATCTTTGCCTCTTCCAAAGTTCTGTAGCTGTTTTGATCTTCAAGAATTGATCCTGAGGATTTTAGCCTCATTCAATGTCTTGAAGTCAGTGGTGTGCTGTGTAGCATTCTTGCACAGAACTGCTCAGACATCCGTAATGGGACCTCTTTCTCCTTGTTACCTGTCTCAGCAGAGGGAAAGTTAGAAAGCAGATCCAGTCCCAGATGGATGCTTTTCTCTGTTCTAATTCAGAAATCCAGAGAGCTGCTCTTTCTAATGCTCAGGCAGCCTACAGGAATTTTAAACCTCATACCTAGGAGGAATCTTTACAAGAGCTTGATTATCTAGCAGCAGAAGTAGGTGACTCTCTACTAGCAGTGAAGGACAGGTTATGTATACTAGAGAAAAAAATTAATGGAGGTGCCTAGGGAAAGGAACATCATGAAATGTTAGGATTATCTTCCCAGAAAATTGGAAAATAGGTGCATTTTGGTGAAGTAGGTTTTTTTCTGTATTGTCTTATTTTCCCACAAAGTAGATTACCTAGGAAAGTAAAAGGTCTAATTCATGAATAGGCATCTTAAAGGATTTCACTTCCTTTCAAAATCTGGGAATAAGCTCTGTCACCTGGAACTAAAGCATCACATTCTCAGACTGAAATGTCAGTAACTTCCAAATGATTCCAGCAGAAGGAAAACCCTTTGAAACTTTGCAAAACTATCTTTTGTAGCTAACCCTATCAACAGTGCAAGATGCATCAGATAAATTGAATAGCCACCTTCACAGAAACTTTCCTCAGAGAGAAAGTCCTTAGGAACTAAGCAATCATAGCTGAGCTGAGATCCTCTCTAAAGCCTTTAGAAGCAAACCCAAAAATATTATATATGAACATACCACATTTATGACTGTTGTCCATCAACTGCTTTTGTGGATCCTGTTTTCTTGATATTGTGTACTACTTAGTGAGCCTTACTATCTAACTGAGCTATTTGGTAAAGTCCTTCACAGGAATATCTTGGATTTTAATTACAGAAATTCGTAGGAGTAAATTTCCCATCTATAAAGAACTTGCACTAATTCTGCTCAGAAAAACAAAAGCCATAGTAAATGATTGAGAAGGCATAAGGCTCTGCACATAGTTGTGCCCTGCCTTTCCTAGAAACAAGCTTTCTCAAAAAGACAATATATAGGAAAAGAAAATTTTCCCCTGCAGCAGGGGAGAGATGACTGGCCTCATCTTGAAACCTGGTCTGAAAACATGCCTTTATACCTCTTGAAATGCTATCTTTGAGGTTATGTAGCTTTTCTAACAGCTTCAAGGGGTTTTTTTGAGGGGAGAATTGTGTGAGAAAAGACAACTTAGTTTACATTTCGGTTCTAGACTTCATTAAGAGAAGAAACATGTAAACACAAAAGTTTCAATGGAGACATCACCACAACAGAAACTTTCCAGGTCACTTCTGAAAAAAGACATCCTTAAAACCCCTGAATGTATCTTGGAGTTCACATGATGTCTGCATATGACCCAGAAATTGTTTTGCTTTCTTAGCTATGGGAGGCCAAGATGTTAAAAATTTCAAATCAGTAATCTCCAAAATACAAATGTATACAAAAGGTCATGAACCATTTTATTTTCATATATTAAAAAAAAATGCCTTTTGATACATTTTATCCTTATGCTTTGCTGCTTCAGATAGTCTCTTGTTTACATTTTCAGTTCTTTTGTTATATAAAATTGAGCAGAGTTTGGCTGCTGGCTGCTACATAGTTCTAAATTTATTCAGATTTAAATAAGAGTTCTGCATTAACAGAGATGTTACAGAGAGCTTTCCTCCTTCTTCTGCTGAAATATTCACTACCCTCTTATTTCATTCAATGCTTTCTCAATATCTCAGTTTTAATTCTTGCAATACTCCTCATAAAAGTGCTACAGACCAGATGTAGGGATTCTGAGGTACCTCTTGTGACTAAAGCCTAAACGGCTTTTGGTGCTTGCTGCTTTATTGCCAGTTTGCTTAGCTTTCCCATTTTATGTATTTGATTTTGTTCTGTTGTTTTGTGGCTGAATTCCATTGTTTAAAGTAACTTTCTCTCACTCTTTTTAGCTAGTCCTAATGGGCCTTTTCCCTTTGATCTGCACAGAAGTTCCCATTAATATCAATAGTGCTTGAGCATGTGCATTAAGGGAATATGTCTCTTGGTGTGAAGATCTCTGGCAGACAACCTTTGTTCACACGAGAGGAACTTTTACTGCCATATTCATTTTATATTGCTCTCAGACCCCTGCAAACTTTGTTTGTGCCATCTTCATTGCCCTGACTGTGATCTTTCTGTCACCTTCCTATGACAGCATGTGTCACAGACAGCACATACAAGGAGAGAAGAGGGGTGGTACAAGGTATATAAGGAACACATTCTGCTCCCTTTGTGATAAGTTTTGTGTTTCAGTGAATGCAGATGCCATTATGGCTATGTACCTGACAACTGGTAATTGTTGCGTGGACGACAATCTTGCATCACTCTTTCTTTGGGATGGCAGTCGGAGGGCTTTGTGTGTAGTTTAATGGGTTATTATTTTGTCTCTCTCAGGCTCAGATCACAGTGAATGGGAATTCTGGCACTGCTGCCAGCCCAGTGAGTCACTTTCAAAGGCCTTTTTCCCCTTCTTCAGCTTACCCTCCACCAGCTTCGCTCAATTCCAACATTGTTATCATGCAGCATGGCAGGATGATGGGTAAGCCTCACACAGAATATTTGCTTTATACATTACACAGCATATTCCAATTCATGTGGCAAAGACTGCAAATAATTGTGGAGTGCTTCACGTCCATAATGAAGGTATTGCCTATATTCATCTACCTTGGGAAATAAATGCAAAAAATAATAGCATTTATTGTTAGATACAGTAGTGATCCTGAACTGGAGTTGCTATTAGGTGTGTGAGTGTAACCTCTTGCCAGCTTTCTGCTAGCTTTACTGAGGAAAGGGAATCTATCAAAATAGCTCAGCCTGTACAGCCCCTTCAAATTTTGCCTTAAGAAACCCGAGGGCCAGCTTTGTACATTGGTCCTCCCCACAACTTCCATAATCTCCAGTAGAAATACTGCCAATAAAGGTGGGGCTCTGGGCTTTTGAATACCTAAAGCCATGTCAATCTAAAATTTGTTTGTGTATTTTTTTAGGACATTGTTATTTTAAAAAAAGACTAAACAAAAAAAGCCAAACCAAACATTATCAGCCTTATAAAGGCTTAAAGGCTCTTTGCCAGTATAATCGAGTTTTGCCAGAAGAGTCATTTGCTTGCTGCTTTTTCTACCAGTGTTTTGCGTATTCAGATAAGATTATACATGCAAAATAATTTGAATGTGATCCTAGAGTTTATTTTTTTGTTGTGCTTGCAGGAAAATTAGGTGACAGTTCTCACTCTGAGATTTACAGCTTAGACAAATGCTGCTATCATCATCATGATAAGTACAAAAACTGTATACATGGGTTTCTCCACATCCCAGAATTCTAGATTTTTTGACTGCTCCCAGTCTGACGATATAAAGCCTTATCAGTATGGTTGGATATACATGAAATGTGTATTTTCTCATGACTTTCACTCTTGCATGATGCTGAAGTTCAGTGTTGCACAGTAACAGCCTTAATTCTCCTTACTCATGTAAAAATCCCCCTGATGGCCTCAGTTTGAGACCTATGAAGAATGAAGGATCAAATCCAAAATGTTTTCTAAATTTAACATCATGCTTTTTGGGGAAAAGTTCTGAATATCTAGACATTTGCCACACGGAGTTGCCCCTTGCCATATATGTGGAGCACTGGATTATTTACAGGATTTCAGACTTGAGTAAGTCGCTGAAACAGCCATGCCAAATCCAGCTCTGCAGTGGGAGTGAGCAGAAATACTCAATTTAAAATTAGAGCTTTCAGTAACCAGACCGCCTTTTGTTGATTCATATTACAATTAATTTATTTTTCTTTAGAATAATCAGTGGATGTTAATGTCATGTGGAAGGCAATTGTAGTTGTTACCACTGGTATTAGAATGTATATTTTTACTCCGTGCATTCATTCATCCTGCAGTGGAAATGTCTCATTGTACCTGCTCTTGCAGAGTAGAGGCTTTGTCACAGCAGCCCACTAATTTACTGAAACCTGCTGCCTGAGGAGTAGGGCTCTTCTTCCTGTATACAGGAAAGAAGTGCGTAATCTGCAGCAGTACAAATTTTCATGTCACATCCCAGCACTGAGGTGTTTTTTGTCAAATAAATTACTCTGAATTTTAGAAGGAAATGGTAATAGTGAGATATTAATTTCATTAATTATAAGGGTAGATTTGAAGGAGAAGGGTAGAAATATTGCAAGTCACTACAAACCAGTAGCAGCCTGCACAGTTCACCTGAATCACTGTAGGAGGATCATGAGATTGCTCTACAGGTGCCAAGTTACTCAAGTCCATTTTTATGGATTATATGTAGAGGCACATAAACATATCAACATAAATTTATTTCTTACAAATATTCACACATCAAAACTTAATGTTTCTAAGCACATATCGCATAACTTCTTGTGCAGGGCTGTTTGATATGCTTGCAGGGCAGCTATTTTCTATAGTTTGCTAAACGTGGGGGAGTGGAAGTTTTGAAATTATGTCACTAGTTTCCAAGGAATGAGTAGGAAAGGTGCAAGAGTTTGATTTATAAGAGAAAGGCTGTTGCACCTTTCTCAATAGATTCTGCTGCATTTGTGGGGGGGGTTCTCTTTTTTGTGAGCAAGATGTTGTGAAAAAGTACTTCTAATCTAATAAGATCTGAGTTGAGTAGCCTGTCTGGTCATTATATAAATTTATAATTTTATTAATGGAATACTAAGTAGGGCAAAGCCCTAGTTAAGATGATACTTCTTTTAAAAATGTTGTATACGTGTGTGATAAAGGTTGTCAGTCTTTGTACAGCATACTGAAATGGGCAAGTGTGTTTTAACTGCCAAATATGATTATTGTGTCATCACCTGATATTCTGTCATGTTATCTTTACAGAGTCCACAGAGACATACTCACAGCATGTTCAGAATGTTGGCAGCAGCACCACCACCAGTACAATACCAATCTGTAGAACCTCAGAAGAAGAAAAAAAAATTACAGTAATTAAAGCTCCACATTATGCAGGGATTGGCCCGGTAGATGAATCTGGAATCCCTACAGCAATTAGAACGGTAGGAAATTCTGGGAAATCTGTGTATGAACTCATACAATGAACTGATTGTTGGTAATGGGTTTTTCACATTCTTCCACTCTTATATAATGTGGAATACAGTGTGCGTAATCAGCGAGCTCATGAATATAATATTGTGTGTTGACAGAAAAGGAGAATGCTGATGGGAGCATAATTAGACAACCTCATGTTTCTAGTTTTAATTAGAAGTAGCCAAAATTTTGTGTCTTTCTTCTGTTTTAGTTCTTGCCTTTTGGAGATACATAATGATTGCATTTGTTTTGTTATTTCTAAAATAAAGTTTATACATACTGTATATATGTATGTGTGTGTGTATGCAAGTATTCATATATTCATATGTGTGTGTATGTAAAAATCTTATGCTTCTGCATTTCTTGGGCAGTGGTTCTTGTGTCATCAGGGTAGCACAGAAATGAATAGTTTTGTTCTGAAAGTAATCTGAGTAGCATTTTCGTGGGAGTGCAATAAATAATCATTGTGCCCTTGAGTGGCACATAAACGAATAGCGTGGAAGCCCTTTCATTGTAACTAGCCCAATTTGATCATCTGCCGCTAGTCACTGCTTGAGTGGTCCCAGGATGTCAAACTGAAGAGTTTTGTTTTCACTATGCTGAAGCATTCTTTCCACTCTGCTGTCAGGGCAGCCTCTTCTGGCTGCTCCAGAGAGCACAGTGGCAGCTGCACTAGGTCTGTGAAGGAAGTGCTTACTGGCCTTCCCAGCCAGAGAAGAACTGCTGTACGGAGAAAGAGTAAGAAGAGTGGGAGCCAGGATGAAAGCAGCAGAGCCCTTGCAGGTGAAGTCTTTGTGAGGTGCAAGGATGTAGCAGCTGTTGGATATGTCCTCTCTGCCAATACTGACATATGGGGCTGTGTTGTATTGCCAAGAACTGCTTCACTGGATTGAAAAATTAGGGGGAAAATCAGGAATTGATGGAGAAAAGCAATAGGAAAAAATCAGAATAAGTGGTAAGATCGGGACAATTTTTTTAAGAATGTGGGGGAAATTCTGGCATTTCTTGCTTTATTTTGGCATAAAAAGGTAATAAGATCAGAATCTTTTAAAAATGGAGACATTTCTTTGCAAAATGCTCTAGCTTCCTGCCCCCTTTTTAAGTAAATAGTCCCTATGATTTATAATGGATATAGTAATTGGTTTTGTACTTTTTAAATAGTAGATTTTTCTGATAGAGTGCATATCGATTATATGAGATTATAACAGAAGTCCCCCTTAAGTGTGCCTAACCGAGTTAGCAATCTTCCAACCTATATTTAACTTTCAGGTTGTATGATCTGAGTCTCTCAGATTTTCTCCTGAAAATATAATGCAATTTGAAGTACGACATTTTTCCACTGGATTTGCTGGGTTTTGTTATGTTTCAATTTCAAAATATTTTATAAACCTGTAATCTCAGTGTTATAGAAATAATTCTCACAGTGAGATATTAGTTAAAAGATTACGCTAGCATGTGTGTGTGTGTGATAGTCCATTTTGTGTCCTTATTCTACTTCCTTAAGACTTAGCTGGTAGTAAAATTGTTTTCAAGATACTGATTTGAGATTACTTTTTAAATGTGCACAAGTGTATTTGAGCCCTGTGTACCCCAATCATGCAAGAACAAAGTTGGTATAGCTGTCAGCAAAAGACTCAAATATGCTGTGCCTTGCAAAATGCTAAAACTGTGTTTTCCATGAATAGGAGAAGGTAGGATAAATCACCCTCTCTTTCTCCAAGGTCAGTGAGTAATCCAAATAGGAGTCTTCTCCCAGAAAGTTTAGCCTCACTCCATCTGGAGAGAGAAATAAGTTTTCAAATTAGTTGAATTTATCATTTCATGCGGTTTAAAAATTTCTTATTCTTCAATCCTTGCAAAAATGGCAACAGTGTATCAAAAAAGGCAGTAAATGCAGATTCATGGTGATAGGTAACACACACGCAGTGTGTTCCTAAATGCTATGCTGCTCAAAGTTAAGCATGTAAATAAGAACTCAAGAGAATCTGTATTCCAGACTTTGATGGCTTTTCAGAAGCAGAGCAGTTTTTCAAGCTGTGGTTATCTCCTACAAGTCTGTTTCTACTCTGAGAACATAGTTTGTGACAGCTGTTTAGCCAAGGAAAACAGAGTGATCTCCTCTCCGAACCTCTCCGAACCTCCAAAGCTGCTGAGAGAGAAATGACTCCTATAGAGCTTTCCATTCTCTCAGAATGCTCATCCCATGTTAGCATCTTCCTTCTATACCACTTGAGCTCCTGCCAGGTCTGGGAAGTACAAATCTGAAAATTCAGATCGTTGTTAAGTTCTGCTGCTGTGCCAAACCCTGCCCCAGAGAAGGTAAAATTAAAAATGAAGTCTTCAGAAAAGAGAGGGTAAGATGCTCTTCACTCAGAAAAGCATTCAGTCAAATGACACCATGTTATGATCCAATTAGTGAGAGATGCCTCTGCATGAATTAAGGTGCAAACAAGACCATATGCTGAAATCAATATTACGGATTATATGTAACAGTAAATGTGAGGTAGAGAGATAGAAAGAAATAGAAAAGAGTGGGAGGGGGGAGGGAATAAGAGAGAGAAAGACAGAGAGAGAGAGATCAGGCACAGCACAGTCACCACCCATGGATCCAGCAGCATCCTGTTGGTCCTTCTTTACCCTGGGCTTCTTGGTGGTGGAGGTCCCAGAGTTGTTCCTCTGGGGGTACCACCTTTATACAGTCCAAGTTCCGGGTATCCACAGGATGGTCGCACATGCTGTTCCCATGATTTGAGGTGATATGTGTATGAGCTGTTGCTTCCTTTCCCACAGTTTGCCACAGTGGGAATTTTTCTCCTGATGGGTTAATCAGGATGTGCTAACCAGACCTCACCTCTGCAGGGCCTGGGATTAGCACCTCCTTTCTGTGTTTATCTCAAGTTCCTACTGTGGTGGCTTATTTTATGGCAAGTTCCTTCTGTGGCCTTGGCAGTGTTTGAGACAGGCAACTGTGCTCTTTAAGACCTTACACACCACCAGAGTTTACTACCAACAGGGTCCTAGGTTAAGGGAAAAACGGATTCAAGGAAAGCAGTAAGACTATGCTGTTTTAGTTTATCCAAAATGATTGCTTTGTGGGTCCCTTCCAGCTCACCATATTCTGTCATTCTGTGATTCTGTGAACTGTCAAAATTAATCTGTAGACTGAAAAGGCCTCTATTTACTAAGAATAAAAAAAGAAAAAGAATAAAGTCCTACCACGTTTCTTTTTGATACTTAGTGATATAGTATTTCAGCTTGGGGAAAAACCAAACCAAACCAAACCAAAAAAACCCACCAAAGTTCCACTGAAAGTCATAAATGCCTCCTTTAATTGCATATTTCCTGATGGATAATTACAACAGTACGGTAATTACAGACTCTCCTAAGAACCAACTGCAGTTACTCCTTATCTCCTCTTCATGCTATTCGGCTGATTGTTTTTTTCATATATGATGGTACCATGTTCCAATATTTAATTGCATCAGCTATAATGTATGCAAAGCATGATGGCATCTGAATGGCTTGGTGCATTGTGAATACTGTTAATTTCTCAAACGATGTTGGTGTGTGGGATTAGTGAATATAAATTGAGAAAATATACTTCAAAATTAATGTATTTCTTAAGTAATCATATCTGCCTTATAATTTAAAGACAAATTATTGGCTGAGGCTTGAAACCCCAAGGAGAGGGATAGGAGGGAGATGGTGAGAGAAAGAAATATTCAAATGTCCAGAAAGGTGTTGGGACACCTTCTTCTCTGGTCATGTGGGAGCTTCTCCATACCTGATCGCTATGTGGGAGCCTCTTGTATATTTATGGAGGACATGACAAGGATCCAGCAAAGAGATATCGATGTACCTTTGTGACTTGACAAACAGTAGGGGCATAGTAGTAGTATTTATGCACTCTTTGCTATCTATTCACCTACCACTGATTGAAAGACTCTTCTTGGCCCAATACAATCAGAAAGGCAGTTGCAATGTCGTGGGACTGTTTGTTGCAGGTTTCTGTTGCAGTGGGAAATGAGGAGTAGCATGGAGGCTATGCCTATCACTGTGAATTCCTTCAGACCTCCTGGACTTCCTTGTAAACTTTTGAGTATATATGATCCTGGAGCACCAAACAGCATACTTGTTTCCAATCCAGCTAAATTGCTCTTACCAGAGTTCCACTAGTATAGATGTTTAATACCTTTAGGGAAACAATGTTAAAATGGTCCAAATCCACTTCTGAATATCTTACTCTTGGCAGAACTCAGCAGTATTGGTGAGGAAGGGACCTATCTTGAGACAAAGCTGTATCTCCTTCATCTCTATCTTGCAAGCAGGTCTAGATAAAAAGCATAATCCCCTGCTTAAATTTTTTCTTACCCAGCAGATTTCCCAGTTCTTCAACTGACTGTCACCTCTTGTTTTAAACACTTTTAAAATGTTATTTAATAGCAATTTTATGAGAACTTACATTGAGTCCTCAAAATATGGGAGCATTTTTGCTAGTCCCTTAATAGTAAGAGCTCACCATTGTTAACAAAACAGATGCATTATGTATAGTAGCTGTAACAAGTATTTAGGGTAAAAGTGTGATTTAGTAAAGATGACATGGAGCCAGGTGATCACTCTCAGATCTGTCCAGTATTCTGTAGGAAAGAATTTGTAGATTTTCACTTTTCAAGGCAAAGAGGAGTGAGCAAAGTGATTGCAGATTTAGTGTTAGCTACTGCAAGATAATGCACTTCGAGAGAGGTCTTTCGAATTATCCCTGTGCACCATGAGGTTTGAAAATAATTTTGTATTTTTTGTTTGGTTGGTTTTGGGGGGAGTTGAGGGTTTTTTGTTGCCCAGAGAAGTTGTGGATGCCCCATCCCTGAAGGTGTTCAAGGCCAGGCTGGATGGAGCTCTGACCAACCTGGTCTAGTGAAAGGCGTCCCTGCCCATGGCAGGGGGGTTGGAACTAGATGACCTTTAAGGTCCTGTCCAACCCAAAGTGTTCTCTGATTCTCTGCATTAAAGTACTTGCTTTTCTGACTACTGAGAGACAAGTAAAATTTAAGGAGAAAAATACTGAAAACATATTTGCCTTTGAGTTAATTCTTTTCTGAAATATTATCATCCTACCTCAAAGAAAATGACTGCAAAAGAGAAAATTCAGAAGGGTGAGAGATGAGAAGAAGCACAAGCGGGTGTTGATATGAGCAGAATTTGGGAACTTCGGAATTACTTAGTTTGAAAAAGTAAGGATAAGTATCATTTAATGAGTGATTATTGAAACAGAAAAATAAATTAAAAATAAGTTGTCTGGAAAGGGCATTTAAGACTGATAAAAGGACTACTCTTCGTTTACAATCCAAACATTAACTCTTAAATGTAGTGTGATCTTAATTCTTTTTTCAGTAGCATTCCAGAGTCTTTCTGCATTATTTAACAATTAGATTTTGAAGATGATTTAAGCTGAAAATTGCCAGGAGTTCAAAAGAAGCCCTTCTTACATGCTTGTAATCATAATTGCTGAGGTGTTTTTATTTTCCTGTAAAGAATCTTGCATTCATCCTTGTCACATATAGGGCACTAAGACTGTTGATGTTGATATTAATTCCTATGTTCCTAAGCATGGTACCCTGCCAAGGTCAGAGTCCAAGACTGACTCGGTCTTCAGTGTCTTCCAGAATTTGTTACAGGAATTCCTAGATGAAAAGCATAAATACACCATTTGAAATACATGGTATGAAAATGATTATAATAAATAGAGAACAAAATATAATAGACTTTCTGTCCAGAATAGCATTAAATGTCTGCTCATATCTGTACACACAGGTATTTTGATTTTGTTGTTAATTGTTAAAACTGTATTTTCTTTAGACAGTTGACAGGCCAAAGGATTGGTACAAGACAATGTTCAAGCAAATCCATATGGTTCATAAACCTGGTGAGTATGGGTTTGTTTTGTCTAGATGGTTTTTCATTCATATTAAAATATGCATTTTTCTGCATTTTGATTGTCTGCTATGTGAAAATACAAGAGTTCACTAAGTGTCAGATAATGAATCAAATCTAATTCATATATTCAGTGATAGTTTTTACTGTGGAGAGAGCTATTTTCCTCTGGTGTAGGCTGACAATTTCTAATGGGTTTATTTTATTCCTAGAACTAAATAAAATTAAAGTTATTAGGATAGGTATGCAACCAGCATGATTACCATCTCACTGGGGAGCTCAGTGAAGTGATCCTCATGTCCAGTTTTAGGGATGAGAAGTTGGCCACTGTAAATCTCCTTTTGGAGAGCTAGAACAGCACAGGCTGGTTTGGGGATAAATTTTGGGCATGAATTTAATTGTTTTCCTAGAATATCTTACTTGGGTTTGCTGAAATGGAACTTTGGTGACATTGGTGTCTTTAAAGTTAATGTCCTTTATCATGGTTGTCACCAAGGATGCCAAGAAACTCTATAAATGCCAGCAGTGCTTATTACACCTCCAGAAGGAAGGAGACTTCATTTGTCTGAGGTGGAATTAACATTCAGTATGGTTACACAGACTGTTAGTGGGAGAATAAGAAATGTAGGCAGGAAAATGTTGGCTTACAAGACCTATTTTGAACACTAGTCACATCATAGATATTTGGGCTTGATTTTTGTGATAGGAACGACAATTAACAGTCTCTAGCAGAGGAAAGCTGACAAAAGGAAGAAATTGAGCTTGGAGAAGGGAAAAGAACAAATAAAAATCTATAATTTGCAATTTGGTTTTAACTTAGTAAGTATGCAATGTGGGTAACATGACCAGAAGATGTCATTCTAGCAATAAGATGGTAAAAAACAGCCTATGGTAAGTAAAATGGGGATAGAGAGAGTCTTCTGAAAACACTTATGAGATGAGGAAAAGAAATACAGTGCTTCAGTGCCTCTGATCTTCTGTCTGTTTTTGCAAAAAACAAAGCTGCATTTCTGGGATAAACTGGCGTGTATGGCACTACTGTAATGTATGTATTTCTTTTTGTAGATGACGACGCAGACTTTTATAATACTGCATATGCATACGGTACTGGTAGGAATTATTCCCTGTTCAAAATTAGTCTTTTGTTAATGTCAGCAAGTAATGGGGTAGATAACTCTTCATGCTTGCTTTTATAATGCTTATAGAAACACATTTTATTGTCTTGTTTGATCTCAGTTGTTCATGCCTTTTTCCCGCAAATGAAACAAGTTTAATTTTAGTTTAATTCTAGTTTAATTCTTACCACAGAAATGAATTGCAGCTGTGGGCCTCACTGCAGATGGAAAACACTGTAATACTGTAGTTTCTTGATTACATTGCATTTATTTTTCACTAGTGATTGTGAGTAACACAGCCTTTCCTTATGAAAATGGAAAGGGAACTACTGTGTGAAAATGCAAACGCTAATTACTGACATGAAAGGATAAAAAGGACATAATGGAAACACCTTAAAAATATGCAGTAAGAGTGCCTAATAAAATTGATTCTGTTTTATGATCTTGACCGTTTTTGCTATAGGTGCTGGCATGAATGTTATTTAGCTTCAAGAAAAGACATTCATCTAAGATATAAAATCATTGTGTCTTTCAGAGGATTATAACCATATGGTAAAATTATTTACAAAAATAAACAAAAATGAAAGCATGAATAGACTATGTGCAAAAAATCCATAGTGCCTTCTGCAAAAATGCCATTCAGAATTTTTCCAGTTCAATTTTTGACATGCTCTCTCTAGTGCCTTTTTCCGTGCTGTTGAGAGCACTTGTTATGAGTCAGTGGTTTGACATCTCTTTGTATTCTTGTGTTCCTCTTCAAGATATGCTATTGCCTCATTGTCCCAGACTAACTAATTATTAAAACAATGAAAAAAAGGTGTGTTTCCTGTCTCTTCTCTTCCTGGCAGGATGAGCCTGGGGATTAATTACAGGCTGTCATTAACAGTTGTGGATGGATGGATGGATATATACACCCATTAACTTCTCTTCCAGTCAAATTAATAATGAATTTATTTTAACTATACTGCACTTTGTCTGTGTGTTTGTAGTTTTATATAGAAATACGTACAGAGTTTTCTAATGGGCTACATAGTACATAACAATGTACTTTTGAAGGTGCATTTACACATTTTGTAACCTTGCAGCTTTATTGAGTTACTGTGGGTTCTTGTAACGCATTCTATGTTGCATTTTTTTAGAACACATTCTCATGCTATGACTGTTCTGGGTTTGTTTTATATTAGGTAGCTACAGTCCATCCTTCTCTGCTCAGGCACATCCAGCTGCAAAGACACAGACGTACAGACCCTTGTCTAAAAGCGCTTCTGACAGTAGCTCCGATGCCTTTAAGGTCTCGTCCCCTTTACCACCCCCACACGTGCCACCTCCAGTACCACCACATCGTCTGAGGCAAAGGTCTACACCAGAAAAGTAAGTTAGCATATTTTCAAAATGTGTTCTTGGTGTGTATGGTATTCCAATTACAGAATGTAACAAAGGATAAAATAGCAGCTATAGAATAATATGACTTCAAGGGCTTTATTCAGGGGACAGTCAAGTGATGAGGGGTAATCTTCACCCGTAGTCTGGGCATCATGCATGGTGCTGTCATTTCTTCAGTGTGCCGAAGAAGTGCTTATTCTTATGAGTGGTATGACCATGAGCATTTAACACTTTTATTATTATTAATGGGATTGTCTTGTTTGTTGTGATTTAGTCTGCGCTCTAGCAGCTGTCTTCAATAGTTAGTTTCTGAGTAGGAAATGCCATTTAGTGTATCCAGCAGTGAAAACAAAGGATCGAAAAGATGATATAAATTGAAAGTCAAGGAAGAGCAAAACTGTAAGAGTGTAGCAGTCAACACACGTTTCCCCACAGCTCAGAAGTACTTTATATCTGCATTTTTTTCAACCTCCATTTTGGTAGACCAAGATAGTGTAGACAGATTAAAAGTGTATTTCAGGTCTCTCATGGCTTTCCAGCTCCAAATGTGTTGCACGAAGCCAGATCCCTGTGGTTAGAGTCCAATCTGGAAAAAGTTAATAATTAATAATTCAGGAAATAAGTGCTTATCCTTTTGCTAAAACCATGCAAGTGACCTGCACACAAACTCTGTAGATTTCAGCATATCTCTGGATACTAGCTCAAGCAAAAACCTTTTTCTTTAGCGTTTACATTCATTAATACTGAATGTTAATACAACATTGTTATTATCCATTTATGTGTGTGTGTGCATGTATATATATATATTAAAAGGGTCAATTTTTTTTCTTTAATTTGTGCCTACAAGCCCACCTGTCTTGGTTACACTCAAGCAACAGAACAGAAGTTGCCCATTTTTTTCAGCTCAAACATTAGAAACGTATTTATATGTAGAAATTTAATTATATTAAGCATCTTCAAATAGTAAGACGTTTGAATAAAATATTATGAGGAAAGACCATACTAGGTGTTTAAAATTAAGACCATAACTATGGCTTTTTGAAAACTTTGTAGGTAGTGGCAATTCAAAATGTAATTCAGCAGATATATTGCAGAGGAAGATGAGATTGCTTGATGGTTACTGATTTTGGCTACCCTGTTGCCAAGGGCAGATTGTCAAGAGGAAATGCTAAAGGTTAGAGTTGAGCTGCCTCCCAAAGGCCGTGACGTTTGAATTTTCTTAGCAGTTCATAGGAGAAGTGTAGATTTTTTAGCAAGGCACCAAAATGTGAATCTACTTAACTTTGAACTCTGAAGTTATATGAGTCATTGTCCTGTGCTAGGCCAAATGCCTTGCTCACAGAAACTGAGGCCTGTTGCAGTTCCTTTTGTCAAGATTGAAAATAACTGCTCAGCACTGAATTTTGCTCTTTAGCCTTCCTTTGGTCTTTCCCTGCATGATAAGAAAGGCAGTGGAAATCTCTGTTCTCCAGGCAAGAGGATTCCAAACACGTTAGTTATGCTTTGCCCACTGTCAAAAGCTGTAGCTCATCACTCTTTTCCTGCCATTGGTAGATTCAGTTTTTAATTGCCTATGAAGCGTGAGTATTTGAAATCTCACATAAGAGGCTTAGGTCCATATGTACTGCATATGTATAGCTGAGAGCAAAGATATGGTTTGTATTAACATTTGGGCTCAAAAATACAATCTATTTGGGATTACAGGCTGAACACTGTAAATTAGGTGAACTGAGTTTCAATCCATTTCAGTAGCATCCTTTTTTCTTCAGTGACTTGCAGTACAATGCAACTTGATCAGAACATTTCCATTTTCCTGTTCATTCTCAAAAAACACCTTTTCTGCTCTGATAGTAATTTTTTTCCTCAGTGAATATAAACAATAGAGCCATGTAGATCTACTTCCCTTGAAATATAGGGTGCTTTATAAATAGAGGTGTCCATGTCCCAGAAATTGCACTTGCATGTATGCTATAAACAAAAGCTACCCCATAGATTTTTTTAAGGCAGGTCACATTATGTCAGGTCACATCAGAAAGGCCAGTAGAACTGATAAAATTTAATCAGTGTGTGCTCTGTCTTACAGTAAATAAGACAATAGCTGGTAATTTTTCCCCTTCCTTTTGCTCCATCCTTTGAGTTACTAGTGGGTCATTTTACTCAGAGCTAAATAAAAGTACATGTAAGCTACAGTTTTCCAAATACAATGTAGGTAGGTATGACAAAAACTGCCATGAAAAGGTAGCTCTTACTGTAATTAGCTAACTACTCCCCAAAAATGTATAGGTATCTAGTAATATAAGATAGTAAATGATTGAAAAAAATATCAGAGCATGGGTTACTTTTTATTCTTTGCCTAGCACTATTAAATTGAAAGCAAATTTGTAATTATAGAGAAAATGGATACATTTCTGTTCCAAAGTCAACTGCCAAATTCTTCCTCATGCTTATCTATTCAAGTTTCTTGGGAAACAGTACACTGCTTGCAAGGATATTCAGGAGCAGTTCTACTACAGATCAGGATAATGAGCATCTAATAGATTTTCATGCTGTCTTTTGGTCTCAGAAAATGTTATATTTTTTTCAATATGGAATTATTATCATATTATGTGATGCCAAAAATATCTACCACTTGCCTATATTAGTATAGTGCACAAAACAAGTATAGCTATTTGCAGTGGTATGCAATGCTGTGATATTTTGTTACAGTATGTCAGGGAAGTTTTTAAATTGATCTACTAGTTAAAACAAAAATGTGAGTGATCACAAAGGCCAGACGTCTCTAGTATTTTTCCTCTTGTACTGAGTATACCTGCTGTAAACCGGTTAAGATGATTGGGATACTAGACTAGACATTTCACAAGTGAAATCTGGAAAGAGTAACCATTCTGAACCTCATTGGGATTTGCAGGTGTCTGTTGCACAAACTTGTAAAGTAGATGGTGATGACAGTAAATTAGCTCAATTGCTTGTGTTTGTTGTTTAGAAATGACTGGGATCCTCCTGACAGAAAGGTAGATACTCGCAAGTTCCGTTCTGAACCAAGAAGTATTTTTGAATATGAGCCAGGAAAGTCATCAATCCTTGAACATGAAAGACCGGTAAGACATATAAGTGAAACGGGTAATACAGTAAGAGATTTGGTGAGAGGTTATCTTTTTATTATTTACTACTAATAATAACTACTTAAGGAATATTGAAGGTCCTTTTTCAAATACAGTTTTGCAGCAATTTATCTTTGCTGTTATCTGATGGTTGTGTTGAAAATGTGGGTTTGGCTTAGTTGCTAAACTTATATCTTCTGGTGTTTCCAAGAAAACAAATCACCACTGTGCAAACCTCATGGATGATGAGCAGAAGTGTGAATTAATGGAAACTGCTTTTTCGAATTGGTGTGCATCTCCAGCACTTATTTTCAGTAGTATTATCCGCACATACTACTGATTAATTAATGCATAAAAATAAAGTATTTGCATTTTCAGGGTATGCGTAATTGTACATCTAAGGAGATTTTGGTCAAATACTGGTCAAGGTTGCCGAGAGAGGACTCACTTGAACACAGCCCTGAGCAACCTGATCTGATCAGACCTACTTTTGACAGCAGGTTGGGCTAGATGACCTCTGGAGGTCCTTTCCAACCTCAATTACACTGTGATTACTGAGTGTACATTAACATATAATTAGAAGCCTTTATTCCTGCTTTCTGAATAATGATTGCAATTACAGAATTTTTCACAGGCATGTCTGATAAAGCTATGCTTAATGCTTGCAAAATAACAACGGAGGTTTTCATTTCCTGAAAGATACATTCACCCAACCCTTCCAATTTACCTTTATTCTGTCTTAAGACTTTCTTATTTTAGGAAAACTGTTATGTATCAATGGCAATATTTTCTTTTCTCTGTCTTTTACTCTGAGGTTGAAGTGGTTGAGAGAGTCCAGTTTTAAAGAAGAGGTTTATGTAATCGGTACTGGATTATTATTTGCTTAGGTATTACATGCTTGTTCACTGAATTTATTTTGCCAGTTTAAATTAAATTAGGGAAATAATTGAATTTCAGAATATGTAGCGTGTCAACAGTGAGAAACACCTTTTCCTCTGTTTTTGTGGTCTTTGCAGTAGTTTGATTTTTGTTAGCTAGAAAAACACCAAGCTCTTTTTCTGTGAAATTAAGTTCTCGAAGAACTGATACATTTTTCAAAGAGGAAATTGGCATTTCTATAGGAACTGCTAATGAATCAATATAATTAAATGGGGTTTAATATCTGTTGTGCAGATGAACTTAACAAATAATTTTATTTAAAAGGCATTTTATCAGGCAGTTTTATCAATATGGAATTTCCACTGTTGATAAAGATGCTCTTTAGCTTTATGCATTTAGATACTTTCTTTGAACCATGTTACAAAAACAAAATACTTGGTTTCACTAAAGCACTTGCTTCCCTTGTGTTCGTTGCATGGGATATAGAAAGCAGAACTAACAACTTACAGGATGATCAGCAGAGCAGGTCAGAAGTTTTTTCTTTGTGTGTGTAGGAAAAGCTAACATCTCAAAACAGTGCATTGGTTCCAAATTCAGATGAAAACTCCAAATTCTCAACTGTGTCAGGATTGCTTAAGTCTTCCATCTTGATAATCTCAAAAGATTTGATTTCTAATGTCTAAAAATTTGTTCTGATGATACTGAAAGTATTAATAAAAACATGGAATGTCAAATAAATACAGTTCATTACTATTGCACAAGATGGACATTTATAGTATCTGAACTGAAAATTCATACTTTATTAGTTTTCTCAAAAACAAAAAATCAAAGGGAGTTTTTATAACACTCCAAATCCTAAGGTTTTTTTCTGAAATAAGTTAATTTCCACGTCCACAACATTGTAGTTTTGATGTCAAAATAATCTACTGAAATATAAAATATTTACAGCTAGCTTATATCATAATAAACAAGATGGGTGAGGTTTGAAAGATCAGAATTCCCTTTTTTGATGTAGGTACTAGATTAGAATCAGTTGTAGTTAATGTGGAGATTAGAAACATGGGAACAATATAAGAAATTGAGATTCAATGCAAGATTTAGTGGGAAATATTATTCAGCAGATCCTCGTTGATCAAAAGAATGTGAGAAATAATAAATCTAAAAAATTGACTTAGTAATAAACATTAAATGGATAGACTGATTGGGGATAACTGACTAATTTTGTTATGGGTAAAAAAGGATGAGTGTAATTTCAAACTGCTGTACCATGTAGCAACCTTCTGCCATGAAACAGGAAGTTAATGTGTTTTCTTCCATAATTTGAACTTTTATACTTGTGTATGTAAGAGTATAAAACAGCAACAAAAAGTAAAAGCTTGGGATTAGTCTTTTGAGATTACAGGTAAAAGTAAGTGATATTAAGGCATTAAATAGTCTTACAAGACATGGTGACGAAGCTCCTTTTTTTCCTATTTCAATAAGCCCAGAAAACATTACTATTTCTTCTAATATTATAACACTGGTAAGGTGGTACATAACTTGTTTTGATGTATATTTCCATCTGCAATGTCTGCAGTTCAATTAAATGTTCTTTTTCTCCAATGTCATCCAAACCATGGATTTGTTTCCTAAAATGCATGTTTAACTTCTGTAAATAAGTGTATGGTAGTATAATAACTTAATTCTACTCCCATGATCATGAAGTTAAATTTTATTATTTATTAGTTTTTACCTTGTATCTGAGAAGAATTCCTTCATATATGTACATTTCTCTATTTCCGCAGTAGAGCATGTAAGAAAGAATCATAGTGTTGCTGTAAAAAAAGACTTCATAAAATTGATACAAGCAATAGTTGCCTCTGTTTTCATCAGGTGTTTTAGTCTAAGCATAGAAGTACACGTGCTAGTCAGATAAAACTGAAAGGTTAAATTTTAGTTCTAGATTTTTTAATGTTTGTTCAGTATACAAATTTTCTACTGATCAGAATAAATTTTAAAAAAATAATGTTTTGTCAAAGACCAAAAAATAGACTTGGCTTGTACTTCTGTTCTGTTTTAGTTTAGTTTGGTTTTTCCAGTAGTGAAAAATTCGACATTTTCTTTATAATATGTGAGTTTGATTGCTTTTGACATCTTAAGCTGGTTATCAGAATATTCTGCTTGGTAAGTTTTAATATGTCATTAAAAAAATATTTCTTCTCACAAAAATATGGAGAGACTAAGTCAATCCAGTAGTAGATTTGGAGCTATTTAAAAGTAGTCAAAAAAAAAGGCAAAAGCAAACTCTTTAGAGGTAATAAAATGAGAAAACCAAATTGACAATAGGCATCTCAGCCCATTATTCTAAATAGGCTTCAGTGTGGTGTCTGAATTTGCAAATGCAAAATGTTGATTTGACCATGCATATAAGAACCATTTAACCCACAAGTTTAAATGCACACTTTCGGTTGTTACCTGTGAATGTCTATTTGTGCGTATCAAATCAAGCACAAACAAAGCTTCATGTGACACTGCAGATGTAATTTTTTTCAAGGACCATATTCTTCTATGCTCGAGTATGCTGATGCAGTGTTGTGTTGACCATCTTATGCAAAAGGAGTGAAATTACTTGGTGGTCTTAGGTAGCATATTTTCAACAAGTAATCAAAACATTACTAAATGACTAGATGAAGGATAGAGTGTTGGAACATGACTTGGTTTGACTGACAAGTCATAAAAACGGATTTTCCTTTATTGCTTTTGCCTCCTATTCCAGTAGTTTGGGAGATATTTTGTGAGACTAAGCCAACTGCAGTTTTTAAGGCAAAGGGATTCAAGTCTCTTAGAAGAGGAGATAATAGAAAAAGGTCCATCAGCAAAACTGAATCCAAAAGCCAAACAAAATCAATTGCCTGTGTATTGATCTGAGTAGAACAGGGAATGCAGAGTCCTTTCTAGAACTGCCAGGCAGCAGGGAATTTGCAGACTTTAGTGCTCAGTTTCTTTTTGTTTGCTGCCCTCTGCGGTTTAAGCTGTGAATTAAATTAGGACTTGTGTGCATGGAGTAAGTTTTACACACTTCCTTGCAATCTCATTTTATTTGCAGAATACCACACAAGAAGAACTGAAAAATTAGAAACTAGTTAAAATACACTATTTCTTGCTTTATACAAGGCTTTTAAAGCTTGCAGTTAATTGTGAGAGTATTTGAATATGAAAAGGGAGCCAACTCCCATACTCGTTTTTGTCTCCTTGGCTAGCTGGGTGGAAGCCCAACAGATCTGACAATCCGTTCTGCCTCCCTGCAAGGAGAGACACCGGTTCATCAATGTGTGGGTGTGGGGCTGCTGCTCTTCTGGGCACCTTGAGGCTCACAGGGCTGATGCTCGCTATCCAAGGAAGTAATGTCAATAGGCCTGGATTTGTAGTGCCAAAAGCTCCACAATTTCAACCTGTATGTATTTCAAGGGATTTTTTTATTTATTTAATGTAGATGCACCCATTTGTTGATATTAACATTTCTGTGAAAATTAATTTATTGATAGAATAGAAAGATAAAAACATGCCATATTTCAACATATTGTAACTTAGATTGGAGAATGGATGAAAAAGAATTGTTTAGTACTGTTTTCTCAGATTATTCAGATCTAAATTGTGGACTTTTTTTTTTTAAGGTAAGCGAAAAACCTTTGAATACGCCAAGTGTTCTCTGTAATGGGAATCAAATTGATATATAACAAAGTTATCTTCTGCATTGTGAATCTGTCATGTTTTGCTCTCATGCCTTCATATCTCTGTAGAAGAGAATCATGATGTTTTTCTTAAAGTAATCATAGTCTCTATTAAATTCACAAATTTTTAGTGGTCAGTTCATGGAACTAATTTCAGTGGTGTTTCTCCACTAAAGACTTAGGTGTCTATAGTTGAGTTCAAACAGTTGTCATTAATACTGCTGAGTTACAGCTCTGGATGGTGGAAATAAAAGGGCAAAACTCCAGAGGAGCTTCACTTCCTAACCCTGCTGTGGAGCACAGCAAGTTTTTCATCAGCTTCATTCACTTCCCACTCCATTCACACTCCCACTACTTCCCTTTCTTGAAAGGATATTTTGAGGATAAGTGTGTAGAACAACAGTCGGGGTCCAGATATTGCATGAACAGCTCATAGATATGTGAGCACCAAGGTAGTTCTGAAGGGTTGTTGGCCTTTCTATAGAGAAGAGTGGAGAGTCTGTCCCAGTAACATCAAAGTCAGCAAGTAAAGTGCTGTAAGATATTTAATTGTCTGAAATGATCAAGAGCACAGTGTTATCTGTTGCAGAAAACAGAAGTAGCTGTATGTGATTGTTTTAGCGTGTTGGTGACAGCTTGACTCCGGAGGAAAAAGTGTTACAGATTTGATTACCAGTGTTATTCTGTATGCTGCGCCCTGTCTTCTTTGACGACTGCCTTCTAGGTCACACAATAATTAGTGTCTGAGTTCTGATAATTACAGTTATGGAGAATCCAACTTTAAATTCAGAAATGTCTTTAACAAGAGGATTTCTCTGTTTCAGACATCTTTAAGCCAACAGTTCACTGTAATTCTGTGCTGCATGAAAGCCTACGTTGGTTCCTGCAAAGAAGCTGGAGCTATTTAGAAAGTAATTAATGCAGCCAGGTTTACAGTTGATTAGATATCCCATTGAGAGCTGAACTGTTTTGCACTGTCATGTTTTCATGCTACTTGAATAAATCTGTCAATTATTATTCTGTTCACTGAAGACTTTCCTTAATGCTATCAATTGCTACTTTATCCCTTAGCTGGGAGAATTTTCAGATGAAAACAATGTTTTTCACTGTGGGAAAAAAATGCTTCATTGCGTCAACAAGGCTGTATGAGATAAAGTATTACACAGTACTGCTGCAACAAATAGTATGGAATGCATAATTTTTTTGTTCCGTAAGTTTTGACTATAGAATTTAAAATATACAAGTTCCTTTTTCATATGCTGAAGTGGCTTTTTAACATAGTGATGCTTGCATGATGCATATTCCTTATCTCTGCTCAGCGCTTGCTTCAAGACAGCAAGATCCAGAATTAACATACTTTGTGAGAAGACGAGGAATGACCAAAAGCAATACAGATAAAGTTATGTCTTTATTGCTGATCAGATGGGCAATTTCTTGCCTATGCTGGAGATGAAAATCACTTAAACCATCTTCTTAACTAGGAATCTTTAGTAGAATTAAATCTACTTAACTAATGCAATGATGTTTAAAGAAAAGTCAAAGAGTCCTCTTAGCTTTAAAAGTGTAATTTTAAAATGTTTAACAAGTTCCAGCGCTTGGAAGAACATCAACAAAAATAAAAGTTTAAAGCTACCGGTCCATGTCAGCTCTTGAACAAGAATATTCTCTGTCTTAAATACCATCTTCATTCTTTGATTTTATTCCATTTCTTTCCCCATATTTGTTTTGTCTTTGTCTGTTTGTTGTTAAAGTGACATGGCATTTCTGGCACTTTGCTCAGTGTGTACCTTTTCCTTCCCTTTTCCTTCACAACTGCTCCAGACTGATCGCATAAACCCTGATGACATAGATTTAGAAAACGAACCCTGGTATAAATTCTTTTCAGAACTGGAGTTTGGACGTCCGGTAAGTGAGGACAGAATATTAATGTTTACACATTAGGAAAAATATTTTTATGATGAGGAATTTAAATTACCAAATTCAGCAAGTATATGGCAGTAAAATTAATATGAGTTTTTTTTTAGAAAGGGCGATAAATTCATCGCATTTATTTTTTGAAATAATATTTTTTTCAAATAGACTCTTAATTTGCCAGAGCAGTGGCATTAGTAGCTTTAATATGGAGTATGTGTAAATATGTAATAACAAGATAAATTGCATGATAAACAGGAGTACTTTCTAGTCTAGACTTTTCTAGTCTCCCTAAATCTTTTGCATTTGACTGGATTATTTTTGAACAATCTTTTAGAACAGAAAAACATGTCAGTTTGCTTTAGGGATGCTAAGTTACAAATAATGTATTTTACTTGAAGGAATGTATCTACATTTAAATGTAGGAAGCCATATACAAATTTCTTATGGCAGTAAATGCTGATTTTTTTTCCCTATTTTCCTCTCTTATATGCATATGTGCAGAATACATATTTTACACTTGAACACAGAGATATTGGTTTGCTCTGTTTTCAGGCTGGACACCTGCTTGTACTGACAGAGTTCAGTTCTGCTCCAATTTTCACAAATAGCTAGTATCGATAAAAGGACTTGGGCAAACAGATGCTGCCTTAGTCCTACTGCAAACATTTATGTTTAAAATTATAAACCTGAAGAGTTCCATCTGGTTGAAACACCTAAAAATCAGAAATATCTCCATTTTTCACCTTTGATTTCCTAGGCACTTGCAAATCTGCAAATACCACAGGCTTAATTGTATCTAAGCACCAAAGGCTGTTTGTGTATTTTTTACAAGGGTAAAACAGTAGCATTGCCTCGAAGCAAGACTGAGAACTAGGTTTCACTTCCTCCCTGCACAGTGTCTCAAGAACTCGGTTGAAGATGCACCTGCTCTTCCTTTTGCACACACCCTCTCTCACTCCACAAAGCTCAAATTCTTTCCTGTACACTCTAACATCTTTAGGAATAGGATAACAAATGCCTTCGTCCCAGAAGAATGTCTAAGGGGACGGTTAGAGAATCCAGACAGGTGGAAAACAGGAGTTCAAATCCCCTTAGAAGAAGGAGGGAAGTAAACCCAATCATTCGCTCAGTCTTTTTAAGTATTCTGTTAGCTCCCCAGGATTCTCACTGTGATTTTTTACTTAAAAAACCAAAAGCATCTGCCCACAGGCAGAAAATTCCAAATAGACATGAACTTGAGAGTGTCAGAATTTAAAATATTCCCATTCTTTTCTTTCCCTGTTAGCCAACAGTTCTCTGGAGGCTCCTCAGAATTCTAATTAGTGACATGCCAGGCTACATGAGGAACCTAAGCAGTTGACACAGGGCCATGGAGGGCACTCTGGAACCAGATACCTTAGTCACTTTTTGTAGCTAGCCATAAGCCAAAATCAGAACTCCCAGCTACTTCAGTGAGACCAGAATAGAAAGCAAAACTGCATACACTCTTTTAAAAATTTAATTTTTTAACTGTAACATTTAAAAAAATTACCAATTGAATACCGTCTGAAATTTTTAAAAAAAAAAAAGTTAAATGTATCTGGGTTTACTTTGTTGTCTAGTGGTCTATAATGTATCACATTTTCACTGATTACTTTTTATCTCCCTTTATCCAGCCATTCAAGCCCTATTGTCATTCCTCCCTCTAGGTGGGCAGAAACAGTCCAGATACATTCTTCTGATGAACAATATGTCGACAATAATTTATTGATAATGATAACCGTTAAGATAAAATAGATTGAGATTTCTCCAGCAGAATGTAACTCTAGTGCTTTACACTCTTCTGTCTCATCAGTATTAAAAACTGCTGGTATTTATTCAACTATCCCAGTTGTAAATTTTACCACCTAATGTTACTAACATTTAGTAAGATAATTTAAAAAATATAACACATTCATCCTTCCATTCTCCTCGTGTGTGTCACTCTTTGTATCTGATGCTGTCAACACTTAGTTTCTAACTGTGTCACCTTTTCCATATGTTTCATTCCTTGCTGCCATTGTTTCTACTCCATTTCATCTCTACACTTCTGCTTTTATGATGCAGCCACCTAAAAAGATTTTGGACTATTTTCAAGAGAGTTCTTCTGGTGTTTCCAATGAGGTAAATGAATGATTCTTTTTCGGATGATTCTCTTGGGAAGAAGGGTTGGAATGCTCACCATTTATGTCTTAAGTCTGTTAAAATTTAGTGGTTTCCTTCTGATAGCTATGAGACATTTTTAATTCACAATCATTGTATCTTTGTCTTCATATCTTTCCAGATCACTAGTGCAGTTGGATGTTGATCTTATTATCCTAGGAACTGTGAGTCCTTATCCCCAAAACTTCTCAGAGATTAACACTCAGAATTACACAACAGTCCATACGTCTCTAACTCTTTGACAAATTCCCACTTTTCAGAGTTGGGCAGGTGCATTGCACAATTAATCCATCACTACAGTAGTATTTTTTAATTAAAATATGTGACTTCAAATTCTGTATGTCAAGTGAAAGCCTTTGTGGCTAGGCTGTCATTTCTCCAATTAAGTATTTATTGCTACGGAGCTAATCAGATAAAAACCGCAATTAATAATCCTCTTGTAATTTAGAATGTTGCTACTCCAAATAAAATTCATCAAGATCGGGTAGTGGGCTGTCGTTGCCCTACTCTGAGTGGGAGAGATTCAGGCTTTCATTCCTTCTCCACTCCCTCCCCATTTTTACAGCATTAGGGCAAAAGTCAGTGACTCCTATAATGGCAACTTTGCTTCATGTGGTGGCTTGTATTCGTGATTCACTCTCATCTTCTGTAGTCTCTCCAAAACTTAACCTCAAATTGTGGTCTTAAACTGTTAATTGTTTGCAAATTACTCTGGTTTGGTTTTAAGCTCTCTATATATTTAGAAAAACCTCGTAGTTGGGAAATTTGGGTTCAGTTCTCTGAAACAATAAGCTTCTAGGCCTTTGCTAGTTCTTTTTAGTCCTCTGTATATCAAGGAAGACAATTTAAAAGCCCTAACATGACTGTTTGAAATATTCCCATGTTCAGTAGGTCTGGGTAAAATGGCTATTAAGTAATATTGGTTTTCTCTTTAATTAACTTACAAAAACTTCTGTCTTTAATTTTGAAACTTTAATAATCTTTGAATCTGATAAATCATGTTCAAAGTCTACAGCAACTTAGTATTTCTCGGGGGGGTAGGGCGGGAGGACAATATTCAAAATAACTTGATAAAGTATTAGAGCCATTAGGCAAACAAGCATGTTTGTTATTTACAACTTTTGGCTTCTTTTCCTGACTTCACTTTCGGTCATCGTTAAAGCCTTGATGCCTGAAAATGGCTAAAATGTAGGCTTACTTTTAAATGTATATCTCATTTTTTTAGTAAAACCAAATCAAGCTATTCAAAAAAGTCTGTATTTGGTAGTTTGGAGTTGTCATCTCCAATATTAAATTATTTTTGGCAGGTGGCTTTTATTCATGTAGGGCAGTGTTGAATATTCTGGGAGATGACTAATTAGCTTTGGAGGTGGGGGAGTAGGGGAGATGTGTTCAGTTGAACCACCTGAAAGTGGGTCAGTAAATACCTAAGAGCTGATAGGACATCTACAAGCAGTAAAACAAGCAGTAAAAAACAATCATATCCACTGTTTACTTTCACCTTTCCCTACCTGCCATATCCGTGAAGCTCTACCTGGGGATAGAACGTATAAACTCCACACACACTATAAAAAAATAACATATGCCCGTGGTAAAAATTAATATTGTAGAATGTGCAACATACAGTGTCTTTCATACAGTAAAAACTTCAAAGGTGGCGTCAAATAAGGGTAAAAGGGCAAGTTACATTCAAGGTAATAGGAGAGTCTTAAAGGATGAAAAGCAAAAGCCATACAGTAACCCAGCAGTCAATTTTGGCGTGACACACATTTCTAGATGTCTTAGGCTGATCACTAACACACTGTTTATGCCCTGGAGAATGCTGTGGATAAAGAAGTTCTTTCTGGTGTGGTTTCCATTGTGTGATTTACCCACTGCCTTCCATAGGAGGCACTGGGGATCTGTTCCACCCCTGGTAGTTACATCATGGTCTTTATAGCCCTGGAGCCACTACAAATGGTGGAAAGTAATCCCTGCCTCATGGCCATTTGGCCGCCATCATGTCACAGATGGTTGCTAGTGGAAGTGGTTGGCACCTGCACAAAAAAAAACCACAATGACAGTCTACCTGCAATGTTTATGCCACTTCATGCAACAGTCCTAACAGAGATCACCTTCCTCTGCTGGTTCCAGACCATGGCAGTGACTGATCAAGATGAAGATAGTTGTGGCCAGTTTTGAAATAAGACTCTGATGTTTTCCAGAACAGGCTCAAAGTTTTATGGGAAGCGTAGGGAAGCACACTGGCCTGAGGCCTTTGCTTCACTGTGGTTATACTGGCTGTTGGTGTGAGCAACTCTGCGTCTGACTTCTATGGTTTTATAGTAGACAGACCTCATAATATTGGCTATATATCTTAAAATTATTGAATTTTAATAGTAGTGGGAGAGTTGTCACGAAGTACTTTTCAGATTTCAGAGGATGTAAAGAAAAGCTTGAAAATATGAACTGTATGAACATTAAAGACTCAGGAATAAATACCTTTCTCTGAATGTATTTGAAAAAAACCAAATAGCATGATACTTAGTTTGGACAGAAGAGGTGATCAGTTGTGCACTCGTCATGAACCCCATACACGTTCCAAATATTGAGAAATAAAATAGGAAGTCTTTGAATTATTAGCATCTTTTAACTGTTTACACCTCAGCTACCATTCTTTCCAAAAGTTGAAAGGTTTCTTACCTGGTTTGGATGTGATTTAAATTAGAGTTTAAAAGTACTGAGAAAATTGGAACTATCTTAGCTCAAGTTTTAGATAACATTTGCTTCATATTGTGCTGTGTTTGTGTAGTTCTCCCCATCCCACAGTATAATAAATTTTAGTGTAATACAGAAATTAAAGCTTTAGTTAGTGTCTTAATGGGATCACTTGGTATGTGATGCAGGTCTTAAATAACAAAGCCGACTGACAACTCTAACTGAACAACTGTATTGTTTTTATAGTCTCCCACCTGTAAAAGTAGTTTAAACAGTTACTCTTGAATGTCATTTAAGTATACGGTCTTATGAAATCTGTTCCCAAGTATTCTTAGACTACAAGTGACTTCTAGAGGTATACCAAAGTGTCAGTCAGCAAGTCCGGGTGAAGTTGCAATTCATGAACTTGCAATTCAAATCACTGAGGGAAAAAAAAAAACTATACTAACAAAAGAAAGCACTTGTACAGGCCATGAGTGCTATTACCTCTGCAGTTCTCGAATACAAAGTTTTTTCCATACAGAGAAAAAGTCAAGAAGGCTCTTTATAAAGGGAAAAATATTTCCTGCAGCTTAGAAATCTATATGATAGTTCTGTTTTAGTCCATTGGGTTAGCTCTGAAATGACATGCCAGGAACTTGAAACAAGTTTAACTCTTGAACCTCACTGCTTGGAGAAATACCTCAGAGATTGTGCAGTTTGTTCTAGATTCATACCTAGTTACCAGAGTGTAGTATTCTGACTGAAGGCTTGAAATGGTTGATTTAAAATTTGTAGTCATGTATGGTTGACTTTATACTGATTATAAAATTATGGAGCAGTACTCCATTCCATCTTCCAGGGTTCGTACAGTAGCTACTTCCATAACTCCATGAGCAGTGACTAATGTTCTATGATAAGAACTGTTTTTACCAGGATTATAAGGTGTGGCTACAAACATCATAGGAATTACAAGTTTCTGGCTGTAATTGATTGTGAGATTTTGGTGAGTAACTTTGCGAGGGGAGGAGAAGCTTTGCAGACCTCACTTGCACATGAAGGAATTATTTTCAGATTTTTATGTTTCTATAGTAAAGGTTTGTTTCAGCTGTGCTGTATCTGTTTTTGAAAAGTGCATGGAAAACTATGATTTTGGATCACTATTTAGCAGTGCTTTAATGGAAAAAACATTACTGAAGTAGAATAGGAAATGAAATCTAACAGTGCTTTTTAAAAGCTGCATAACTGTTCTCATGAAATATCACTGTATCTATGCCAGAGTGCCCAGGATGTTAATCATCATGGTCCATTTTTATAGGATTTGTCACAGAGTAACAAAGAGTAATCGAACATGATAAGCAAAAATTGCCACTCTTTTTTTCAAATACAAACATATGACAGGTCCATGTATTTGTTTTCACAGGCTTCCTTATATCATCACTATTCAACAGACAGAGGCCTGGACAGGCCCTGTAGGTAAGAAATACTACACATTATTTCAGCAGTCACAGATTATCCAGCTTTAAGGGTCTTCTCTGGGCCCTGAAATCAGCAGATGTGAAGAGTCAGATTGTAACACTCACCTTGTGAGCTACTGACAAAATAGAGATGCATGGAGAAAGTGTTCGTATTTTGATACTGATGTGTAGATTTTTAGTTTTGCAAGCAGTTACTCTTTACATTCAGAGTAAACTATACTATGTTCTGGGTCTTTCCACTCACATTCCCGAGCTTCTGTCTCAACAGCATTTTATCATTTAACCTTACTGCCTGCAGGACCCTTAGTGCTGTTTCCCTGAGCATGCTGCCCCAACTGTTCTCAATCTCTTTTCCCTATCTTTGCATTAAAGTTCTAGTTCCAACAAATAGTCTAAAAAAACTTGATGCATTTATTTCAAAGAAAATGGCATAGTATTTTTGCATAAAACTTTAAAACAGTCAGGTGACGAACGAATTATCATTTCCTTGTGAAATATGCTGTAAGATGTGTGAGACCAGTGTTTCATCACTTTACGTGGTTTTGATGTATTTGTTCTGGCATTTTTTAATTTATGAACCAATAATATAATTATGAGCTTACTTTTTAAAATCCTAAATTCTGATCTCAGAATTAGACTGCTACTTATACTGCTTTTTTCTGTAGTTCTGCAAGTACTGCGAGTGACTTCAGAAAGCGAAGGAAGTCAGAACCTGCTGTAAGTCATCAGAGGGCACACAGTGATCAGAATGCAAACAGATCTAACCTGGGCCGTACAGACATACAAGGCCCATGTACCACCCTTAGAAAGCCTTTAACTAGCTCGTCTCCTTCTTCCCCGTCAAGAGCAAAAGGTAAGAGGAGGCTGTGTTTGTTAGCAGAAAACTTCTGATGATGTGTTGTACAATACATTGGTAGCAAATGCAACTGCCCGCTGTTGTTCAGTGCATTTCCTCAGGAGATGTGATGTGAAGCAACAACTTTGGGACTTTCATGAAAGGCTAACTTGTTTATTCTTATGTGTGTAATTTTAAGATGAAAAGCTGGATTTGTAACAAGTAACAGTTTCAACTGCTTATTCTAACAAAAGAAAATTGAGTAAATGAAGAGTATGAATTCTACCACAATATATAAACCTATAAATTTTTATTAACTCCACTACTGTCTTATTAGGTTATTGTGATTTTAAAACTAGTTTTAGTATATTGAGAAAGTACAGGACAAATGACCTTTAAGACTAAAGATGTGTTTCCAGGATAGTAGGCTTTTTAAATCTATAGCTGATGTCTTAGACACTGTCAGTTATCAGGACCTAAGTTAATCAAGCAAACATCCATAGTCTGATTTTTTATTTTGTAAATCCTTGGAAGTACTTAGTACAGCTGATACAACCTAATTAGCTTCTTTTTTTGCAAGTAACTCACCATTCTATTACTGTTTTTCACATCTCTTCAGAAAAGAGATCACAGAATCAGTTGTTCATTTGGGTTTGGCCGTTTTGGTAGATTTTTTTAGAAAGACAATAGGCTTCCAGTAAAACATATGATGGAAGTCATATATAGAGTAACACTGAATACAATGTGTCTCCTTCTGCTGAAATTATTATCATTATTATTATTATTATTCACTTAATTGCTCTATTTTATAGCTATATTAATCAGCAAACCTCTCTAAAACTAAACTCCCATTGAAAAGAACATAATATCCGGTCTGCAACAGAATGAGACAAAGAAAAGCAGTATGAGACAAAGAAAAGCAGTGAGGAATAGTAAAAGTGAAGTGGTGGAAAGCAAATGTATTTTAAACCTGATGTTACAGCAGTAATTTTAGAAGTGGATAAACTTATCCATTTTGGTTACCAGGCCAGGGAGTAAAAAGTTTATAAACTCCGTTTACCTGCATATACATTTGACTCCACCTAAACACTTTCTGTGTTTGAAAATCCTTCAGTTCAGAATATCTACCATAGCTAATTAACTTTCAGAAGGTGTCCTAACTGTATCACTCCATTCTCTCCCAGCATTATGACACCTGTAGAATGTTATTTTTTCTTGAAATTAACCAATTTTTTAAAGAAGGAGCACGCTATAAACTGTTTGATCAGCATGAGTTTTGAAGTCAAGTGTTTTGATTTCTGATCCAGATTCAGTTTTCTCTAGAAAGCAGATTGAGCTGTTTGAAGCATCTTTCCTGAACCGAATGTCATTTGAGACTGTGTTTGAAAGTTCAGTGCAATTATGAAAGACCACAGTTCCAAATTTGTCTCATCATGATTTCTGCATCTATCATGCGCATAAAAATATATCTTAAAACTTGCTTGAAAACTTGGGCTTTGTTATGGAAGTCCATCTAAGGGTTATTGTTTTTTCTACATGCTGGTTAGGCTAAGTAAACTGATACATCTTCCTTTACACCTGTATAGCAATTCCTGAGCTGCCTTGTTCTGCCCTCGATAAGCTGTAGAAAGCAGCACTCCCTTCAGTGCTATCACATAGGGAAAGAGTGGGCTATGAAAAACTGGGAGCAATTTCCTATTTGATCTTATATAAAGATTTATCTTTATCTTAACTATGTTAGAATACAGATGCTGCAAACTCTCTGAGCATTATAGAGCTTAAAAATTCTGAGCAGCTTCTTTCGGAATGCTGGAAAAGTCAATATTTGACTGAGGTCTATATTTGTTGTTTGGCTTCATCTTTAAATCCTTTGCAGCTTTTATCTTCTGTTGACCTGCTTAAAAATTGGTATTAGTGCTTGTTTTCTTTGTTGCTCTGGTGGGGGGGGGGGTTGCTGAGGGGATAACATCACCATAATTCATAAGGAATTCTTTTTATTGTTCAGATTTTCATGAGTGCATTTTTATAGCTGTAAAGTAACTTAATTATTAGGTCTGCTGTCCCAGGCTGTAGGAGACTATGTACTGACCTAAACTGATAGATGCACTAATTGCTATTTCTTTTCTAGTCTTTCTAATGCTTACTGATGCTAATTCCAACTTTCTGAATCTTTTAATTTCTGGCAATGTCTCTTTTTTACCATGCTGCTCTCTGGATTATAAAGGTGGGGATATTAGCAAAGTATATCCATCCCTTTTAAGTTATTCAGTGCACAACCACAACACCTCAAATGAATTAGATTACTGTAGCACTTACAGGCAACATTTAGCTGTTCCAAATGATTCAAGAAGGGCAATTAGCTACAAGAATGGCTGGCAAATGACTCGCCAAAATGCAGAAGTCTGGAGCAGCACAGAAGAAAATGCTTCTCCAAAGAGAAAATCTCGTAGCTGTGATGATCTGTTAACAGATGATCGTGATAGCTTTCCTGATGCACAGGCCAAGGCTGAAAGCATGGGCTCTCTGTTATGTGAGGAGGATTCCAAAGAAATTTGCTCAATGAACTGGAACTCCCCATATGTTGAGGGCCGTGGTAGTGGTAGGTCGAGAGTTCGTCACAGATCTGCACACGACGCTCCAGGTTTCCTGAAAATGTACAAAAAGATGCATCGCATCAATCGCAAGGACTTAATGAATTCTGAGGTGATTTGTTCTGTGAAGTCCAGAATACTACAGTATGAAAAAGAACAGCACAAAGGTATTCTTCAAGGCTGGAGAGAGTCTTCTACTGAAGAGGTGCCCAGAGACATGGTGCCAACCAGAATATCTGAATTTGAAAAGTTAATTCAGAAGTCAAAATCAATGCCGAACCTTGGTGATGAAATGTTGTCAACTGCTACATTAGAGCCTCCTAAAAATGGCTTGTGTCCAAAGAGGCGATTTTCTATCGAGTCCTTGCTGGAAGAAGAAACTCCAGTCAGACATCCCTCTCAGGTACAACAGAGCTACAAGTCTAAAACCCTGGTGCCAATTCATATTGAAGTGACCAGTGATGAGCCACAACGATCACATATAGATTTTTCAGACAGTGATCAAGACGGAGTGGTTTCTGATCTCAGTGACTTTATCCAGATAGAGGGTTCATCCTTTTGTAGTGAAAGTGACTTTGATCACTTTTCCTTCACATCATCTGAAAGCTTTTATGGATCAGGCCATCACCACCACCACCATCACCACCACCACAGGCATCTCATTAGCTCCTGCAAAGGGCGATGCCCAGCATCCTACACTCGCTTCACTACCATGCTAAAACATGAAAGGGCTAAGCAAGAAACCACTGAAGATCCAAGGAGACAGGAAGCAGAATCTGGCCTCTCTAAGATAGCATTCCTGGTCAGTCCAGTGCCTTTCCGGAGGAAAAAAAGTGCAGCTCCTAAAAAACAAACCGAAAAGAAAAAATGCAAGTCATCTGTATTTGAAGCACTAGATTCTGCACTTAAAGACATCTGTGACCAAATTAAGGCTGAAAAAAGACGGGGAAGCTTGCCCGACAACAGTATATTACACAGACTTATTACTGAGCTGCTTCCAGACATTCCAGAAAGGAATTCATCTCTTAAAGCTCTGAAAAAGAGTCCCATGCACCAGCCTTTTCATCCACTGCCTCAAGATGGTGCTATCCATTGTCCACTGTACCAGAATGATTGTGGAAGATTACCTCTTAGTGCCTCTTTTCCAGACATGGATGCAACTAATAACAACGATAGTGCACTGTGTTTCCAAGGTGGATTAACTTTCTTCCCTATCCTTGTGATTGACTTATCCAGCCTTACTCCCTGTGTTTCCCACCCTTTCTCATTCCATTTTTGTGTTGTCTATAAGAAGCTTTCATCCCACAAAATTCTTAATGAAGAATGTCATTTTCACATAGGTGTTGAGGATAGACAAATTTGCTATCTATTCACAAACTACAGCAATCAGAACAACTGAAGTAACAGTGCATTTCAACTAATTGATTATTAGTTCTATAAATTACAGTAATGTTATTAAGTATTGTGGGGGTTTTTCCCCAAGAAAAATATCTTACAGAAAGGGAATTCATGCATCCTAAGATGCTGGTCAAACTGAAAACAATATGAAGATAATCCTTCCTTTATTAATTAAGAAAAAAATTTGCATCTAAAATGTGTTGTTATTTTGTTAAATGTAAGTGATTAAAATGCTGTTAATTCTGCCAGTATCACAGAAAGTTGATTCTGTTTTCTTATGAATCTAATGCTTTATATTACTTTTTGTGAATAGATGTTAAGGTCATTTTAGGAAGTTTCCATTTCCACTGTTCAAACAATAAATTTCCAATTTCTGTGGCAGCAAAACTAGTTCTTTTCATAGAATTTTAATATATCTGTAAAGTTTTGAGAAATTTCCTATCCTCTTAAAAGGGAAGTTCTCAATAATCAAAACTTGAATGAAATTGTCGGGGTGAGTATGACCAGTCTGTAGTTTAAGTTACTGCTTTGAGCTGTTTGTTGCTGTGCTGCATCTTTTTTTTCTCAAAAACATTTGCTCAAGCCTAAAGTGTTTTTAAAGTTTAACCTTTTAATATTAAAAGAAACAAACTAGATCCATAGCAGGAATGCACAAACTGTATGCTAGATGATTTAGATTAATAACTTTGGCAAGTCTGTAGTTTATTTCTCTTTTTCAGTGCTACCATTTCTTAGTTTAAGAATTCTGCTTCTAGACATAGAGTCCTTTGACAGAGTATCTTTGAGAATTTAATGAAATTACAAAGCTATTCTTGAAATCACAAATGGATGTAAGAGAAAATGTCTTTAATATGTAAATTAAGCAATATTTGATCAGACCCATCTTACCTTTATTCTCACATCTTTTTGTGTAACTTTTGCAAGCAGCACAATAGTAAATATGTATTTCAAGAGAACTCAGAATTCAAGCTGTTACCATCTCTTCTTAACTAGTTATAACAGACATATTTAGAATAAAAGATTTGGTAAAAAAAGGGCTATAAAACGCAGTTGAGGATTGAATTAATCATACATGAGGCCTGGTCATGATTAACCCTGGCTGACAGTACTACATGATGAGACTAAGGTTGTTGGAAATTGCACTGGTCACATATTACAGTGGACTTCTGATAGCTTCTTCAGCTGTGAAGGAGCCTGGCATAAAGAAAGCAATGCACTCTGTCAACATTAATATCCTTTAAGTGGCGTGGAGAATGAGTAAAGCAGAATATTCCGTTGATTTCCATCAGCACCAGTCATGGCTGAGCTCTACTTCAAATCAAGTTTCCTGTTTGTTGGATCTGTGTGTGTCTCTTACAGCCACCATCACACAGGGACCCCAAGTTCATAGCAAAAAACCACTGAAAACTACCAATATTGGCTGCATAAAGAGCTGTAGAGAAATAAAGGAAATTGTTTTTCCTAAAGCTTCTGCATTTTCACTCTTTTTCCATGTCCTTCTCTTTCTGCTAGAGAATAAAGAAAAAAAATAATAGATATGTTTGGAGGCATTGTATCTTTAGGTTTGTGCAGTGAGTATAGATCCTCATTCAGGAACACATGCCATATCAAGAAACCTGTCCAGAACTGGGACTGTGATACACTTACTGGGAGTGACATGCTTGCAACCAATGGCAAAAATAATACAATTATCTCATTTTTTACCTCCAATATATTTATCAATAGCTTCAATTTTTTTGGTTTAGCCTATAGCCCACTAGAGACCATTTACATCTTTTTTCTGTAAGACCCAAATATAATGGATGACCTACTTTCAGTTCCTTTCTTTTTAACCACTTGTACTCCTTTGGAAATGTATGAACTTGGTAAGAACAGATTGTGGGAATGAAGTCAAAGAAGACAAACATCTATCACGTTTTCACTACCAAATATCACTGTGACAGTAGGAGACTAAAACAGTAGTTCTCAGAAGTTGAGAGGCAATTCATTTCATCCTCTGATCTGAAATAGTTCTATTATATTTTCATTTCACATTGGCAACTTGCAGAGCTATAGAATGTGTAAGATTTTCATTTTATTCTTATTAAAACATTAAAAGATACCGTCCTGTAATAAACATTGGTAAACTGTATTTTAGAGAAGTCTGCCACATAGATTGGTGAGTAATGATTTGTATTCCATCTCTTAAAACAGAGTTGTTTTTATGAAATAACTTCTTTTTAAATTCCCTTGTGCTGCCTAACATGTGCCCCTGGTAAAGTAGAAATGCATCTTAGATCACTTAGGAGGAAACAATGTTACTTCACTATTTTCTCATTGAAGCATGCTTGAATCATGTTTTGTGCATGTAATTATGTGTTTATATTGTTGGCATTCCAAAACAGTGTCATGCAACCTGATGAAGTCCCAGTACTGCTGTCATGTCTTCCACTTGGCCCAGTAGGGGTCCATCCCTTTGTACAGGGAGGCATAATTTTGCTCTCTTGATCCTCTCTCATATCTTTTCTTCTGCTGTGGATCAGAGGACAGCCATTGCCTTTGCTTAAGAGTTAGTATCTTTTTTTTTTCTTTGAAGGTGTACTTAACCATCATATCATGTGCTTTTCTTTCTATTAAAGGTAAAATAATAGATTTCAATATCTTTTCACCTCCCTAATGAAACCAAGAAGCATTACACATTTGAATGGTTTTGTTTACCGTAATTTCACATAATTTCTGTTTTCAGTAGACCAGGAGTCTCCTGGAAGCTATTCTTCTGCTTTCACTGATGTGGGCCGATTTACTCCAAGGGAGAGAAGAGGAACTACAGACAAAGAGGTAGTGAAACAACAATGAATAACACAGCAATATCCATATGGGAAATCGGTAACATATTTGAGACAAGATTTGTGTTGGTTTTAAGACACTGTAATAATGCAGACCAAAGGAACAGTTACTTATCATATCATCAGATGGGACAGCATCTTCCTTTTTCATTAAGGAGGATTGGCAGTTCAAGAAATTAAAATAATATCAAGCTTTGTAAAATAAGCTATGGACTTCCATTTACTATTAAATAGATATGAACATAAATTTACTAGTTCTTGATAGATTCTGTCAAAGTTGACCAGAGAGGGTGTTTGGAACAGAGAAGAGCAGATGTGACTGGGGAAAGGCTCTTTTGAGATCCAAAGCATCACACAAGGAAACTGCCTTGGCAGTTTAAAACTGATACAAAGCATCTATATTTCACCATTATTTTTGTTTGGAAAAGGAAAACCACTGTCGTTGGTGTGTTAGACAAAACCACTTCTCCTAAGAGCAAACACTAATGTTTGTAACAGTTGGTGATGGTAATTATATACTGGTTACTCATATTAGTGCTTTGGAAAAGGTTGTGAAAGCAGGCATGTCACCGTTAAAGTAACACAAAGTATCACTGAAAAGTACACTTTGAAAAATGAAGTGTATTATTTAGTATCTTAAGAATACTTATAGATGTAACTGTAAATGCACTCCAAACAGGCTTCAGGGATTTTATTCAATCATAAAGTACATTTAAATTAACCAACATCTACAGACCATGGATTGTTAACATTTTTCATTGTTTTTTATTAAAATATTGCACAAAATAATGGCAGCATAAGAGGGTACTATATTTTAATTGCTAATATTTAAGGGTTTGCTCTGGGCTATCTACCTTGCTAAATGGTGGTACAGTTAGAACTGAATTCAGATCCATTTACAGTCCACTGACGTGTTTATATTGCTGCAATTTAATTAAGAGTCTGATTTCAACAAAAAAAAAGAAAAAAAAGACTGCTTATTACAAAATAGAGGTAAAAAATGTTCCAGGAGCTGAGTTATGTGTTCCTTTTAAAGAATCTCATGACATAGAAAATCATTTTTCAATTTGAAAATACATAAAATACTTAAATTACAAGCCATTTTTAAGATCACTGTAATTTAAAAAGATGAAAGAAAGGCTTTTCTATTTCCAGTCTGTTTTGTAAAGTGTGAAGTATTTTGTATTTAATCAGCTCCACTGTTCTTTTAATATTATCCTCTTTCTTCTGTTATTTGCTTTAGTAGTTACAGTACCAGCTGTACCAAAATCAAGGAAGAGTGAAAAGGGTTTAGCTACAGTTGATATGAATATCACCTCCTGTCTAAAAGACTGTTTTTAACAACAGCAAAGAACAGGAAAATGCTTTTAAATGTAGGCTTAGACCTGTAATGGAAAATTGTATTAGTATTACAAAATTCAAATAGACAGGACCCCTGCAATAACTTTAGGGACTTTTTTGTTATAGTGAAGACAATGCTCTAGGTATGCTAAATTTGCTAGCCTTTAAATTACAAGTAGGGAGAGAACCCCGTCAAGAACATGTGGAATAAAAGAAAAATGCAAAATTTACAAGTGTCCCTTTTTATTCCTCTCATAAAAAGATGCACACCTTTACATCCTTACAAGTAGCATCTCTCAGAAATAGTATAATCAGCTCATGCTAGTCACTAGTATATCCTAGAGAGAAATTTTTTTAAATGTAGCAATCTTATCTGTGCAAGTACTTGCAGAGAAACACTGAAGAATTTCACCAAATACCCTCATGTAATACTGTTTATCGCTTCTGGCACCTTCCTCTGAAGTATCTGGTGACGGTTACTTGTCAGCTGCAGACACTAGATGAGGGAGGCTGTTGGGCCGGATCACAGTTCGTGTTTTCAGCAGAGCTTTGAAAACAGTGAAAGTTTAAGTTTCAGCTGCACAGGTGAGGAGAGGTAGGGCTGTTTAACAGCTTTATTTTTGAAACAATATTGAGCTTGCATGTACTTTGTGATAGAACTTGATAAATATATGATAGGAGTGATATAATGTGATTGCCTGTAATAGCAAGAGAGCTGCACAGATGACTCAGGAGATCAACTCCAGTCCTGTGTTTCTCAGACTTTCTTAAAACTATGAATGTGATTATAGAAATTCAAAATATTCCCAATAATTTCCAGCTGTCAGAGTAATTTCTCATATATACGTATATATAAGTGATACAGTATTTGCAATTGAAATTAGCCTAAAGGTAACAAGTTTAACAGAGAAAGCATCTAGAGTACTACAGAATATTAGGTGTGTGAATTTACATTGTACCTAAAAAGCTATTTGCCTACAAGTTACATTGGTGTAGTTAACTTTTTTATTTACTTTGGTAGTTCTGTTACACATAAAATTGAAAAGCAGTATGTACTAAAATTTAGCTGCTATTTCTGTTTTTAGAAAACTAAGTCTCAAACACTTAACTGCCTTAAAAAAAATGAAAGCCATATATTTAATTGCCTATTTCTGCAAGAACCACTGTAAAGCACATCCTTTTCACTTTGAGTCTTGGTCACCTTTTTAAAAGTTGAAACATGTTTATCATATAGTAATACTACCTGAATGTATTAATCACTTTGCCTGCTTTTCAGAAACTGCCAGCTAGAGCTGTATATGACTTTAAAGCTCAGACTTCTAAGTAAGTACTAGACTTTTGTTCATTTAAGAATTCATGATTCTGGAACTTGTAGCAGCTTAACTGCTGTTTAAACCAGTTTCAACAGCAAATGCCGTGGAAATGAGGACCCTGCTTGCACAGGTAGTCTCTGCATTAGCAAACTGTGTGAGAAGTTACGTTGTAGTAAAAATGTCTTAAATTATTATATCCTCCATTGTATCTGTTAGAACACATGAATGGCTGTGCATCTTCAGCCTTCTAGAGCACGGGTCCTGAGGGTCACCCACTGAATGCTTTTCGTTTGTTGTGAATTCTATTCAGGTTACACAAGGTAAAGTGCTTAAAATACTGTCACATATAATGGGGTTATAAAAATTCTGTATAATGCTTCAACACCTTCCTGTCTGTCTTAACATACACAGGCTCTCTGCAGGATGTGACAAGTCCCATACCAAGACAACAGTGGTCCATAAGAAAGACAAGATCAGGAACCACTAATTTAGAATATGAGACAGTTGAAGTAGAGTGCCTGTATTTCATTCCTGCTGTTGTTCCAATGATCCAGGGCATTTAAACAATATTCAGATATGGCCCAACATTGACACTAGAATTACATTAGCTGTGTCTGGGAGAAAACTCAGAACCTGAATTATCCAAACAGCAGCTTAGCTTTTGAAAAGCCAAATGGATGATGCAGCAAAGATCTCCCAGGCCAGGATCTGAAAATATTTTTAGTGATTTCAATTATTCCCCTTTTTTGGTATTCAACATTAAATGTATCACAGGCTCTGAATATCAGAAATGGTAAGAGCATGATCCTGTGTTCTTCAGGCTTCTGAATAGCTGTCTTGAAAGAAAAATGTTAAGAGCAGAAGCACACCATTCTCTGCTATGAAAAGGTAGTGATAGGCCATAGAGACATGGGATATACATTCTGGTTTTCTCTACTGATTTCATAAAGAACATCCCTCTCATGCCTGTCATAAAAGCAGTACTTAAACAGGTGATCCAAAGACATCATACTTGCATGCAGATGCTATACTAAATGCTCTGGTAGGAACTAGCAATACTTCCTTGGAATCAAAGTGTAAAACAGGCCTGTATAACTTACAGGTACTAAATGTAAAGCTATAAATGTGAATTACTTGATTTTATATGGAATGATCAACTGGTAAATGATCACAGCCATGATACTTTTTCTTCAAATGTTTGTTACATTCTGTTTCGGTTCCAAACTGTAAAGATCTCAGGAACTATGCAGGTAGAAGAATTAAATGTAAAGCTATAAACATCTGATATAAATAAATTTGTTACAGAGAGCTGTCCTTTAAGAAAGGAGATACTGTCTATATCCTCAGGAAAATTGATCAAAACTGGTATGAGGGTGAGCACCATGGAAGAGTTGGAATATTCCCTATTTCTTATGTTGAGGTTTGTTCTGTTTTAATTTTCTTTAATTAATTTGTGTAATAAGTCCATAAACCACATGAAAATGATGAAAATCTGTGGGTTTTCTTTTTCCTTAGAAACTTTCTCCTCCAGAAAAAGCACAGCCTGCCAGGCCACCTCCCCCTGCACAGATTGGAGAGATTGGAGAAGCTGTTGCCAAATACAATTTCAGTGCAGACACAAATGTGGAGTTATCACTTAAAAAGGTACAGTTTAGAACTATCTTCCATCAAAACACCATGAAAGTGTCTACTGCTATACCAAATCAATACTGTGCTTTGGTGCACTCAGCATTCATAATTTGCCATGCACAAAGCAATGTCATGGTAAGAGACTACTAACATAATAGGTTGTTGGCTAGCAGTCTTTCTCAGCTACCTGAAAATAGCATAAATGTGTTGTGCATGTAAATTGGATTGTGGTAGATTATCATATGCAATCATCTGTTAACTGCCCACATAAATATCAAGTTTTCTCTTTAATTATCCGTTCCTTTTTTTTCATAATTATTCCTAGCTGTCACTATTATTATGAATCTAGAATAAATAGAAAATTACAGAAGATAAAAGATACAGGAAAAAGGCTCAGAGATTTTTTTGTGAATGTATCAGTTCTTGCAAATATTTCATTTAATAACAGTCTGCTTTTTATAACATTTTATTGCCATTCCTATGCACATCCTGGTAGTTATACTGTATTGCACATAAGTTAAATAACTGTTTAATTTCTGAAGTTTGTGAGACGCTGGAATATCACCACTATAGAGAAACTTTATTATTGCAGATATTAAATACTCATGTGTAAGTAGTATGTACTTCTTATCCACTGGGAAGTTCTGCCTCATACATTTGGGTTTTTTAAAGAATTAGAGTTCATAAAAGATTTTCAGTGGGTTTTTTTCTTTTGAAATAAAAGTAAGAATATGGTTAGTTGTTGCTGACCTAGAGCTTAATCCAGCGCTATTGAAAATGAGTGTTTTTTACTCATTAGAAATTCATAAATGTCAAAGAGGTCTAAAAAACAATCAGGAATAGGAACTTAGAGAAATTATGGGTTGAGGGTAATTTAGTGATTTATTTCTTTTTAAAATTACCTTCCATGTTTATTGTGGTGGTCATAATCTTGACAGTTAAATCTGGGGTTTTTTTGAAAAGTGAACTTGCACTGGTTTTCTTTTGTTCCATCTCACTAAAGATAGTTTTAGTGAATTCCACCTATCAGCTACAGAAACAAAATTAAAGAAACCCAAGAGAATGCAAAATTAATTAGGAAGGATTTGTTACAAAAAGGCATGTGATAAAAAGCACATCATGTGAAACAAAGAAGGGGTAGCTCATGAAGTTTCACTACAGAAAAAGATTGAGAAATGTTTTCCATTTCAATTGCTGAGCTCTCTAAAACCAGTAACTGAGCCACTGCCCAGGAAAAGCACTTCTTTCTCTCATATTTCCCATGGACTCATTTTTTAGCTTTCTACCTCCACTTATTTCAGTTTTACTGATAACAAAGCGCTTGCATGGGTTTTCTTGTTTAACTTTTATCACTTGGAAGGAAAAATGGGCATAACAGTCACTGTTACATATTATAGTTAGGGTGTTAGCTGGTAGTTTTGCCAGGAATTAAAATAGGTTATGCTCCAAAGAAAAGTGTTAATGTTATTCTCCCAACCAAGAGTAGGGGACTACATGAGATTCCCCTATTATAAAAGAATAGCATTTTAGTCCGTGACTAGCCCCTCATTTTGCTGAAATTTTGCTGGTAGTTTTATACGTGGTTATTATAAATGGGAGTAGAAATGTGGAAATGGAGATGATGCTCAAGACTGATGGGAAACTGCACTGCAGGGAAAATGATACTATGTGTTAAAATAATACCTGCTATTCACAAAATATACTTATAGTGTATGTGCTGATAACTCATTTTCATAATGCATTTCAGGGAGACAGAGTAATTCTTCTCAAGCGAGTTGATCAAAACTGGTATGAAGGTAAAATACCAGGAACCAACAGACAAGGCATCTTCCCTGTTTCCTATGTAGAAGTCATCAAAAAGAATGCATCAAAAAGTGTTGATGACTATCCTGATCCTCCGATCCCCCAAAGCTATTCTAGTGACAGAATACACCATTTAAGTTCAACTAAGGTAAGGATTTTTTTTCTTTGCTGTCACCCCTAGAGTGGGTTTAAAAGGACTTGTAATTTTTTTTAATACAATACATAACTTAGACATTAAACATAGTATATTTTCTTTCCTGCATAGGTAGAATTGCATTACTATCTTATTAATAAAATATTTTAATAGCCAAGTGTGTGTCTTACATTCTGCCAGGATTTATGGTCTTTTCTTCATTAGCTGTTATGTTACTGAGAGTAGGGCTAGGCAAAATTTAGGCAGAAAAATCAAGTCAACAGAAAAAATTTATTCGGGAATCTTAGCAAGAATTTGAGCATTAAGTATATATCTAGTAGACTTTTCCTAGTGCAGTGTGAAGACATTCCCATAAAACAGCTATACTAAAAGCCTACAGTCACATAAGCATGCAGGACACAGCTTGCCAAGATCAGTTCTGTGCCTTTCAAAGTCAAAAAAATTATGAGTGATTCTGTACTAAAACCTTCCTCCTTTTGCCATTTACAGTCAACAAGGAGGCTGTTGTTCCATTCTTTGAGGTGGGACAACAGTGACAGTATTGTTTCATTTAGGAGTAAGGTGGTTGTCATCACATTGCCAATGAACTTGGATTCAGACCTTTAAAGTTTTAGTTTTTCACACCAAATGTGTGTCATAGGTTCTGAATCGTTTTCCTTCCTAGTCTAGATAACCACCACAAGTTGTACTACAGAATGTTGCAGAGAGATTCCTGTGTTACTGTTTATCATTCACTTGTGAGATTTCACAGTCACCTGTGCAGGGAGCATAACATCTTCAGCAGTGACAGAAACTAAGACAGTTTCTTCATACAAGCTGTGATTAGCATTAACATAGTATTGATGATTTTGAAAGCTCGAGATGGAAAATTTTCTAAATCTTCCTCTTTACCTTTGTTCTTTATCTCTTCAGCATTGGACAGTGGGTTTTGTGTGTAATTATAAACATCTTATCTTGCTATTAATCTCTGTTTCAGTTGATTTTGTCCCCTTTTCTACTTTTCTATATTTGAATACTGGTGCTCATTTACATGCTTCAACTTTGAAATAAGTTCCACACTTATTTACAACTTTGGGGTTGTAAAAAGCTACCAAAAATGTCATTTATAGGCAACAGTGGCCTCTGAAAATATTGCTTATGACTAAACAATATTAGCTGGTTTGGGACAGTTGCTAGAACAGGTCTCTTCTGGTTTTCCAGAACATCTCACAACAGAGAACTAGATCCTCTCTCTTCCATTCCAACAAAACTGCCAGCTGAGGTATTGATAAGCTAGGGCCCCTTATTGTTATAGGAACCCAGAGGTACCTGAGGGCAAATCAAGAGTAGGAGGCAGCTTAGGTGCTCCATATTCCAGAGATGTCTCTCTGTGTTCAGAGGTGCTTCTCCCTGTTTTCTACAGAGCAGGCTTGTCTCTAAGGTGTCCTGCAGCTAAAGCTGGTGTTTGTGTAACCGACATAACCCTTGTTGAGCAGAGGTGATGCTTTAGAGCATTTATATCCATATTACAAAACCATGCTGCCACTATTATTTAGTTATTACTAAATTAGTTCTGTAGGGGACTAAATTGGAAGAAGCCTTCCTTGTAACATGCCATCATTGGGTTCTAGCATAAGTTTAAAAAAAACCTCCAAGCTTCTACTGAAACTCTTAGACAGACCTCTTGTTTCTGAATTGAACTGTATTCAGAAATGGCAATACCATGTAAGAAGACATGTTGTTCCTGACTACCTAGAAGAACTACAGGAGCCCTGAAGGTGTTCTGGAGTTCACTACACTTACTGATACCGCTTTTCCTATTCCTTTGGAGTTTCTTACCACATATGACTAGATTGCTAGAGCAATTGCACTAAAGTTCTCTAGCCTAATGGCAATAAAATAAATAAGCAATACAAGTCAGGAGCAAGTTTTGCTGTCCTTGGCTTTGCCTGGTCCATCTGTATCTTTAGACCTAGTGCAGCTTGTAACCATGGGAAAATAAAAAATGGCAATGTCTCTTCTGCATTATTATTGACCTTAATACCATATGTTAGAGGCTCTTGTTTGAGAGGAAAGATGAAGGAAAGAGACTGAGTACTGCTTGTAACAGCCTAGCTCTGTTTTAGCAGGCTGTGTTGTATCAGTCTATACTGTTTACTTTGTTACAGAAGACTCTGTAACAAAGGTTGTCTAACTATAAAATAAAGCTATTTTCCTCAAGAAAACTCAAGCAGAAGGTAAGTAAATTAACCTTCCTATTCTGCCACATTAATCTAGACTTTTGAAATAGCATATTAATACTTAAAGTCTCCAGTAGTCCAGATAACTTGGAGATTACATCTAATTATTCTGGATAGTTGTAACAATGAGATCAAAATATTTTTCACTCAGTTTTAATTTTGAGGGTTAATAGTAACAAAAATGCATTTTCAGTATTTACTGAAGCAATGGATATCTACTGATGCTGTGTACGTATGACTCACCAGTCTCTCATTCTTAGAAAAGGACGTTTCTTTTACCAGAAGGATACTTCAATCAATATTGTGTAAAGATACTCAAAATATACTGCTACATACTGTGCTGTCACTATTTTAAAAGCATTGTTGACTGCCTACATTCAGTTTGAATTGAATGTACCTTTCACAAATGTTGATGTCATTTTTGAACTAAGGTTACTTTTGAAAAAAATGCATTCTGTAGCTGTTCATGCCTTAATAAAAGTATGCAATATATTAAAGATGTTTCTTAAACATTTACCTGGAAGTATTAAGAAAAAGTAGAAGTATTAAATTTGAATAATTGGAAATCACCTCAGTTTTTATACTTTAAAAGAAATACTTAATGACACCTGAAATGTACTTCTGCAAGTGCTATTCTCAAAATAATAGTAATAGTTCGGGGAAAATTTTGTTAATATTAATTGTATGATTTAATAACCTGTGACAGGCTCACTAACAGAGCACCATAAATAACATAACTTTAGCAGATCAAATGCAAGTTGCCTTCATGAATGTAATGATTCAGTTCTGTCTTAATGCCTGACATTTATGCCTCAAGCCAAAACCTGATACAGTTTCATGTTTCAAATGTCTTTCCTGCTGTTCTGATTCATGTAGTAGTGATTTCAGACACCCATGGTCACTGAAATTGTACCCTGTAATCCAGATGATCACACAGACATTTTTCTTTTTCAGTTTACATATATCCTAATTCTCTGTCATGCTTATTTATTTGAATTCCCATGTTATTCTTATTTTTGAAGTTGCCTTCCCAAGCACTGTCCTCACTTTCCAGACAACTTTCCTCCTCTTGGTCACACATTGATCAAAAGATTCTCCAGGCTGCCACTAGTGACTTGTTTTCAAGGACTGTTGGTGTTTCGCCTTCAAGCACATGCAACTTAACTTCTCCATCAGTTCCAGACAGTTTTCTTTGTGACTTAGAAGAACTCAATTCTTTGGCATTGTCAACCTCTCAAACTGTAGCAATATCCCCAGGTAACAGCATTCACCAAGTTAAGGATGGTCATGTTATTCCAAATACAGAAGTGTCTCTCAGCTCTTCTACAGCTCTTCCTCTGTCCTTTCTTGTGTCTACCTCTGTATCATCTTCAGCCAGCTCATCTCATGACATAGCATATAAGCATGTCAGCAACAATACCAAATCAGGAAAAGATAAAGACTTGAGAGGTATAATTGACCCTTTAGTTATTGAAGTACCTAGAGACTTGTTAGATACTACAAGAGAAGGTGAACATGTTGGCGCTATCTGTAACATCCCTTCACCATATGAAGGTGGTTCCATGTCCAGAGTGCTAGCTACAAATGCTGAAAATGAAGAGGAAATCTTTACTGCAGATCTGTCACTTAATATAAGGGATCAGTCAAAGCCTCAAGAATCAGATTTCTACGGAGGAGAACAAGACACAACAGAAGAACTGACAAGACTCTATATAGAGGAGGATCTGGTACATGACAGTTTAGAATTCCCAGTAGCAAGTGGAGGAGGCTCTATGGATTATTATGAAGGATACAATTCACCAAATATTGATAAGGTATTTTAATTTCTGAAATACCTGGGTTCTCTATTCAGATAACTTAGTATAAGTATTCTCTGCCTTTTCATATATTTACATGTTTGTATCGTGCACAGGCACAGCTTTATGCAATTGCATTCGATAAAATTTGAGCTCTGAGCAACCTGATCTGGTGAAAGGTGTCTCGGCCCATGGCAGGGAGGTTGGAACTAGACACTAAGGTCCCTTTGAACCCAAACCATTCTATGATTAAAATTGTCAGTGTTAAGGGATAGTCCCTTCTCAAAAGCAAGCATATGCACTGCTGTAAATTCTGTAGTGTATCAGTTGTGCTGGTCCTTCTGTCCTTGTTGGTTGCCATTGAGCTTCTGATGTAAAAAGCCAGTGAACGATTTTCCTCACTGTCCCATTACATGCTGCCCCTTTTGAGCCAGAAGGCCCCAGTTCTCCAGAGGGAGGGACATGCCTCCTGCAGAGACCCTGCGGTTTGTGCTTCACATGTGTCACTTCACCAGCTGATATATTTATAGCAGGCTCTGTTACGAGAACATGACTAATAATAACGGATCAGATTATGTTTGGCAGTTAGACAAATGCTTCCTCCTGAAACCCTCCCCAGTTCCTCTTTGGGACAGCACATCACTGAACTATCCCAAATGTGTGCTGGCCATTAAATGCCACAATACCACTATTTGTGTCGTTTCTAGGCAAAGTTTTAGAAGAGACTTTTTTTCTGTCCAGCACTTCAACAGACTGTTCAGGCAGTTGCTTTGGCTGTCAACATGCAAATCAGATGCTTAGGACAGTATGTTTTTGGCCAAGTGTAAAACTAGTTAATTAGAAAGATTTTGCAGGCTACCTCTACCCTTATTTGACCTGAAAAACACAGGAGAAAAATGTTAGAGGTGAAATCCATGGCCACAAATGGCAACATTTTTGTGATTTCTGAGAAAAGAAATCTCTTCCAGAAATGTAGACTGAATAATAATAAAATTAGCATGACATTTGTGATTGTTCAGATTAGTTACATGTCTCCTTATTGAGCATTTGACATCCTTTACAGCTGGTTTTATAGCACAACTTCTCATTTTTCTTAAACATTTAAGCCAGCTCTACTTTTTGTGGGAACATCAGAAGACTCTGATCCTCCTTTCCACCTTTCTTCTAATCTTCCACTTCACTCTACCAAGGCACCTACTTTCCACTCTGTTCCTACAACATACCTGTCTATTGCTTCCCTCCCACCTCCCCTCCTCTCTAAACCGTTACATCAGCAGGAGAAAGACTCACCACAATTAAAGGTAACTGCACCTCTTGATTATGGATTGTTGCAAATCTTCATGTATATTAAATAACTGCAAGGCTAACACTGAGTTTGATCTTTTCAAATGTACTGTTTTGTTTACTAATATTAAATAACATAACACATGGAGTGTTAACATAAGCCTTCTTCAAATGAAACAAGGTAAAACTGTAACTATTATGATACAATGAAATGGCTTAAGGAGATACCGCTGACAGGGAAGCAGAAAGACTCAACTCAATTTCTAGTCAATACCAGGACAACAGAGTAACTCATTTAATTGAACAGAACAGAATTGTATTCAAGTATGCAGAAACTCGGTAACATTTGTGTTTGTGTTTTCAATTTCAAGGCAGTGCCTGGAAGAACAGTCATAAATTTCACAGTAAAGCATCTCTGCAGAGTCATGTTCTAAATACCAATTCTGTTAGTCAAGGACTGGACAAAGATTATTCCCTCTTCAGGATTACAGTTTGTGTCAGCATTGCAGCTCTGTGGCAGAAATATGAAAACTGAAGAGTCGCTCTAGGTAGACAAAGTTAATTTCCAGTGCTGACTTCCAGGGAATTCATTTGCTCATGAAAAGAGGAAAACATCATGCAAAAAGAAACTATCCTAGAAGGCTGATCATTACATCTATGGCAGAAATCCTGCCTTTTTTTTTTTTTTTACTCTGTCCTGTCTTACAACGTGCATTCACAGAAAACACAGACATAATGGACTTGTGGAAATCTTAAGATCCACCAGATCTGTTGGGATTTTTTGGATATAGGGAAGAGACATAAGGCTTCTTTCCTGGGCATGAATCTGTCATGGGCTTAAGTACATTCCGCCTCAAAGAAAGAGTAAAACAGAGTACTGCACTTGTTTTTGCAACTTTTAATAATTTATCAGTTGCCGCAGTGCTTTTGATGCTTTTGCTTAGCCTAAGGAGCAAAATTCAGAAAATTCCTCACCTACATTGAAATTCTTTTTAGGTGACCCTCATATTCTTTGCTCTTGTTTGAGCAAGGTATGTTAATCCCAGCTGAAAATAAACAGAAGGAATATCTGTTTTGAAAGTTAAAATATCTACCCCAGGGAACCTCCTAGGCAGTGTATTGCTCTTAAATGGACAAGGCAGGAGGCAAGACATTAATTAACCAAGGGGGATGATTCCATCTTACAGACATAAGAGCCCGAGTACCCAGAAGAACGGAAGGTCTGGGGTCTTGTTAGAGAGTTCTCAGTCTTAATTATTGTTTTCAAACGATTTCGAATCTGGATTATTTTTTAAATCTCAGGAACAGATTCCTTTATAAACTTAATCAGTATATACTTACCTATTTGAAAATTTTCAAAATTATTAGATGCACTCTTACCAATGACAGCAGATTTTTTTGTACAGTATTTCTAAAATGAGATAAATCTTTTCCTCCCAAGGGTAGGCAAACTTTTTTCAGCAGTCAACACTGACTACATCGCCGAGATAGAGAGTTGGATTAAAATAAGTGGAAGCAGGTTTTGGCTGGCATCATTTCTTGCTGCTTAGTCGCCAGGCTGGGCTTGAGAAGACAGGACAGTTCCTATCCTCTTCTCTTTATGCATGTTGCCCATCATTAAGGTCTGCTCTCTACTGACACAGCAGAAAGACCACGAGATATTTTGAGGACTCAAATTTCATAAGTGAAGGGAGGTTCTTCAGAGAGTTCTTGAAGCTGTATACTGATACTTTTGTAATTTTTGTTGTTGATGTAAAAATGCATGCGTATACATACGTATATGTGTGTACATAAATATATTTAGAATGTGGCTCAAATCTAAAGCATGACCAGGGATTTGGACAGTGGAATACAAGGAGCTATGGGTGGGAAATGTCACTTTGCACCATGTTGGTGGGAGGGTGTCCTCCAAAAGAAGAATTCTGAAAACATGTCCCAAGGAGAAATGCTGACATTTTTCTAGCTCCTTGGTCTCTCTTGGTATCCTTTTTTGTTGTTATTGTTGTTGCTGGAATTGTTATTCACGCCTCTCCTAAGAGGAGGCTGTTTTTCTATCTTGTCACACTCTACTGACAGTCACAAATACCATAGAAGAGGTTTTCAGTATCATCACTCCACTCCCCTCACATTCCCCCCAGCTCACCCCTGCCCCTGAGAATTCACATTTGCTGAACACACACCCTTTAAGAACTGAATTCTGACAAATATTTTTCTGATTTATAGTGATGCTAACAAAACAAGGATATTTTCTTGAGGTACATTCCACCAAGTATTTACTTGCTTTCTCAATGCAAATTTAAGGGAAGTGTTCTGTTTGACAGGAAGGAATTACAACATTTGTCCTATACTGTTGAGCTTTTCTGTGTTACCAACTGAGCTGTTTCAGGGGTACACGTGGAATAACTGTTACATGTAAGGGCATGTGCCAGAGCAGCAAAACTTGGAAAAAAGATACAGTGGCAACAATAGAAATACTGTGTACTAATAGTAGGTATTTCTACCTGTAACTCATTGCTTTTTGTTATCAAGAAAAGCACGTTGGGTTTGCATGTACGAATGAAGGAACAAAAATCCCATGATGCTTCATTCTTAAACTCTCACTTGACATAGTTTTTGTGGTTCTTCTAGGCTAATTTAAAGAGAGAGAGATTTGTTATGGGTAAACCTCCTCGTAGCCCAGTGATGACTAAGAGATCCTGCAGCTCACCTGTCAGAGGTCACAGCTATTCACACAGGGTATGGTACTGGATGCCCAGTGTGCAATAACAGCATTTCCATGGACAAGGAGCTCAGTGTCTAGCAGTATTTTGCTTTTGCCCAAGTGTCTCAATACTATCAGTATCTGTTTTCTTCCTGTTGTGCTTCTGTGCTATGTCTGAGTAAAGGCAACAGGTCTGTGTGTGCCAAAACTCATTATATAAATCCATTAGTGTATTGTATCTCTGCAGTACTGCATGGTATTTCCAGTGCTACAAGATGTAAGAGATCAAAGCTCTTTATATTTAGTCTGATTTTATTAAAATTACTCCTCTCTTTCAAAGCATTTCTAGTTTATTAAAATTACAGCTTCTAAGAGTCAAAAATTTATTGCATGTATATGGACTGAATTCTTAGGTTTGAATCCATGTCTTTATTTTTCAGAATGCTTTTTTGCTGTGGTATGATGTTTACTCAATACTGTTCTCTTTATCCAAGCAGTGTCATTCCAGCCTTTTATACCCTTTAGCCTTTCCCTTCCTATCTGTAACATAACTGTAACATTTTTACCTAGCCAGAAAGTCAGGTTGTTTAGAGTTTGCATGGACTTTCCTCAAAAAGGTGATCTGCACTATGGAAAGGAAAAAAAACAACTTACACAACCTAAACTATTGTGAGAATGAGAATTTATGGGTTATATTTTACTTTCATTTTAGGACCGAATTATTCTTTGCATTGGTCTCTTAACATATGGCTCTTAAAGCAGTTAATAGGATGAACTGTTTTCCACACTGTTCCTGCTGATTTTAGGTGATCATCTTTCTGGTGGCTCCCTTTTTAAAATTTGAATTTTAGTTTAAGATATGTAGGTTTATGTAACTTTCAAAGCTTGGCTTTTTGGCAAGCCTGTGTTTACTACCAGGTATGAAGGGACAGTGCTTTCCTCATCAATGAAGAAAGGCGGTTCAATCATAGATAGGAAGGCCAGGATTCTTGTAGTAGTGGACCAGCATCATCTCACAGAAAGTCCAACTAGGAGTGAGATCCATAAAAAAGGGATTAAGCCCTATATTAATTTTGCATGTTCCTCCAGATTAATGACATGTAACCAGTATGTTAAGAGAAGTGTATTGGTCAATGCGTTAATGTATTTATTACTTTAATTCCAAAACTACAAGAGCACAAATCATGCACCTAATTTGCATGCTCAGGACTGTACGGAACTATTGTATGCAAGGGCATATTAATCATGCATGAAAATCAGGGATACAACTGGGACCATTGACTTGATTGCACATTTAATGTTTTTGGGATTAGATCCTGCAGTATTTTCCAGGAAACAGGATATTCTAGTAAACTGAGGAGTAGTTGAAAACTAGAAATAGTCTTTGCAACAGTCCCCTATCTAGCTAATGTAACTGTATATGGGAATGAGAGCTTAGGGAAAGAAAACAGGGAGAAAGCTTCTGGATGTTGGCTGGGGTATTATTGTGGAATGTATTCAAATAGCGAGTGAACTCCAAGGTCCCTCTCTTCAGACATACCACCATTTACTTCACCTTATTTTCACAAGATTGTCATTTTGTCAAAGTTTTCCCTGTGGCAATAACATACAGTTGAAAATCTTTAGTCATCTTGATTTTTATTATCTTTTTCTACAGTAGTTAATTCATTTTATGAAGCATATGCAGAAAAAGAAGATAATACTGACCTACCCAGTTTCTTCCTGCCTTGGTATTACGTTCAAAGCATTGTATCATTTGTAGCATTCTTTAGGATGTTGACTTTCATTTTAGGAAAAATCCTTAACCTTAGTTGAGTTCTTTTGCATCTCTGACTATCTGTGGCAGTCAGCTCAGTTACAGACCTGATGAAAGATTAGCAGAAAATAAGGTCAGATTCCAGTCTAAATACAAAGCATTCTGCCCAATGGACTATTTTCTTCTTGTTTGACAAGCCAGCCATTGAAAGAGGTTTACTAAGAACTGTTTAATTTATGATCTTTACTGTTGGATTCTTTGATAAAAATTACACAACTTTTTGTACACTGGCAGAGGAGAGTTAAATGAGGGAGAGAAAACAGTAAAGAGTATAGAAAATTCTTTTTTTTTACTTTGAAAACCTCTTTCCCACTTAGCATTCAATAATACAAATTAAAAGTCTGTAATTCTCCTGCCTGCATTTTTAGGAACCTTTTAAAAGTTACACTCTATAGACTGTAAAGACAAAGTGTAGACTGTTCACAATACTTTCTGCATGTACACATACAAACTGATGAAAAGAAATTTAACTTCTTTAATGTCTTCTGGAGATGCTGAGAGGGAAAAGGGAGAAAAACAAACAAACAAAAAACAAACTGCGTACAGTGTTCTTCTATTCAGTTTCTTTTATCAGACTCTGGGCTGTTTACTGCTGCCTTCTCTCATTGAAGACTCTATCAATCTTCAAGAGTGAACTGAAATAAGCAAATCAAGAGAGAATCATGGGGCAATAAGACAAATTCCGTGGCTTAAAGATCAGGTTACAGTTTGCTCAATTCATGAAAGAAAGTGCTATGAGCAATATTTGATATCCACACTTCTAAAACAGATATGGTTCCCGGACTTGTCTCTACATCATGACCTTAAGGCATCCTCAGTCATCAGCAAATATGATCCCCGCTCACATTAAGAGCTTTCCCAAGCACCTGCTCCTGTGTTGTTTCTGACCCCAGCCAGATTCTAATCAGTATAAGTCAATGACTTTCTGAGCAGTATATGGTTTCTGTAGGAGGTTAATATTTTTCATTTCCATTGCATCCAGATTTATTGAATATTAGTGGTGGGTAATGCTCCATTAAGAAGGAACATAGTTCCTTTCATAGAGCTTTGCACTGGAAATACAAACTACTTTTTCTGCTGAAGTAAAAGTGTTAATTGTTATTTTCACACAATTAAATGTATTTTTTTTTGTTCTTCGACTCCCAACAGCCTGCATGGCTTGAGATGAAACAGAAGTAATTAAAGCATAGCATGTTATGCCTGCCAACTTAGTACTCTGTGTGTGTGTAATGTAAATTGGTGTGGGTTTTGTCTATCAATATTCTGGATTCTGCCATTAAGTATAGGAGATTTTTTTCCGCTTATCTAAAAATATACTTCACGCAAAGAATGTATGATGTTCAGCCGTTGCATCTGATTTTTCTAATGTTATTTCTGTTTCACAGTGAAGAGGCTGAAAGGTTCTATTCCAACTTTATACTGTACTATAAATAGAATGGACTGATAAAGTTCAGTTTGTTTAGTTGTTATTATGGCCTCCAAAAATCAGATCTTTAAACCTGCCAAGATTTAGTTGTTTGTCATGTCTCTTAGGAATTTATTGGAGGGGGAACAGAATGGGCCGTTGTTTTAGACAAGGTAGAATGTGAACTCTTGAGCAACTGTGTGTCACACCCCTATCCAATTATTTGGACCTTAAACTGCAAATCTTTATTACATTTCAAATCATTTCATTTCAGCCACAGCGCCCTGTGCTTTCTCATGAAAACATACACAGTGGGGGGGAACCGTAAGTATACTTATTGTCTATTAAACCAAAACCTAGCATTTAAGCAATAGCCAGCACATCATCAGATAATTTGTTAACTTGCCAAGTACAATTATGAAGAGATTTTGGAGATTTTTTACAGAAAAATGATGTAGGAAGATATCGAAGAAGGTCTCAGAGAGCAAAGCCTTAATTGTTTCATTTACATCAAATGCAGACAGATATGACAACTTACAGTTTCCCATCATCTATACTTAAAAGGAGTAATAATTTTGTAAAAGTAAAATTTGACTCTTCTTTATTCTCTCCATTTTTACATCTCAGCAGAATGACAGTTTAAGATTTAACATTGATTCAACTCATCTGCTTTACTGACTTGAAGCAAATTATTCAGAAACAGTTCTGGATGTGAATAGAGAAAAAAAAAAACCTTGATATGTTGATCACAGGAACACAGGCTCACACTTTTTGGTGTGATTTACAAGTGCAATTCAAATATGAGATACAGGAAAGTGTTTATGAAAACTGAAGAAGAACCTAGATCTCAAGTCTTATTTTCGCAAACAATTTAAATGCTTGGCATACTTCAGTGCTGACTGTTAAAATGCAAGTTCAGTGCAAGATTGTTTCAAGATATTTTTTTTCCTCAAGTCTTGCATTTGGGTCCTGTTTCAAGGATCATTGAAACCAGTAGCCATTCTTCCTCTAGCATCAGAGCACTTCAGCATATGCCCTATTAGATAATTTCTCAAAAATGTAGCTAAGGCTTAACATCTAAAAATATTTTAAAGTTTACCTATTAGTCACTTGAAGACAGAAGAGAGTGGCAAAAAGTTACCAAACAGCTATGCCACAGATAATATATAATTAAAATAGGATGTTTTAGTTTTAATCTCACTGAAACTACAAGCTCCTGTTGGTATTGTTGAGCATACTGAAGCACCTAACTCAGTTTTGTAAGCAATAATTTTCTATTTCATTTTGTTCAATATTGTTTAAGTAGTTCATAACTAAGGTTATTTATTCCTAAAATTAAAAATAGAAATATATTTAAATTGCCAACCAACCATTCTTTGCTTTGAATATGTATTCTGTCAGTGTTGTTAATGATAGTAGAGTTTTCATACTTAAGAAAGTCTTAGATTAGCACAGAGAGAATGAAATTAATACACTGGAGTTATTAAAATGGATTATCTGGAAATTACTAAGATTCAATTTCAAAAGTACAAAGAGTGCTAATTGGGACATCCTTGTACTGTACTTGAGTAACATTCATGGTACATTACATCTGCAACTCCTGTCCCCTTGAAAGCTGCATTTAATAATTTTTTGGAATATCATCATGGCTCTGCTTTCCTGGAATGATGATAAGCATAACAGA